AGATTAGGAGTTCTTATCTCATGATATGCTGATCCTTCAAGAATGCAGATTGATATATACATTCTAATAGAAATTTTCCACAAAGGATTCAACACAAGAAACACTTGTATTAAAAAAAAAAACAGGCAATTTCATCAAATTTGCTGAAAATGCAAATGTTGCTTAGAGTGTTTCCTTTAAAAAAAATGTCTTTGGAAAAAGTTCAAGAAATGGCATTAAAGCACAGCTCAGTGAAGGGCTAAATACCCTGCCTTTTTTATAATGATTGATTAGTGTAAAGAACTGAAAATATTTAGTAGTCCAATTGGTTAGTGTCATGAATGATCTTTAAATGTCATTTTTCTCTCAGCTCTGCTTGGGGTAGCAGATGCTCCCTGATGAGGACTTGATTACTAGTATTTAAGGAATGATTGCAGGGTTGACATTTTCCTATGAAAGACAAGAATTGAAGTAAGGCTTCATACTGCTTTCTGAGCCAGGCTACTGACATACTTACGAGACTAGCCAAGGTTTCCTATAGGCAATGGTTTTGGATCTGCCCTCACTGGAGACCTGAAAGATTCAAACTACAGAGCAGAGGGGACATGGACATATTAATTTGGAAATATTTCCAAAGACTGGCTATTATCAACATAATCCCAGAAAAATCTCATCAACTTTCTTAGTCACAGAAAATTCTCAGTAAACCGTGATATCTCGGCAACAATAATGTACTGTCTTGCCTGCCTGCTAGAGTTAAATTAATTCTAATTAATTAAAAGTTTGGTTTAAAGGTTAGTCCCAACAGCCAGTGAATTGATATATTTTATAGAGGTAAATGAATTAGATCCTGGAGATAGTATTTCCTCTTTTTCTCTAATTAAGTTTGACCCATCTTTCTAGTATGAGTTAGATATCAAGTGTCAAAATCTATAGAGGCCCCTTTAGTCCATGAAAATATATTATGGCATTCATTGTCTTTTTACCCATGATAACAGTTCTTACAAAGACCCTGATACTGGCGTTAAAGGCCCTATACAAACTGGCTCCCATTTCTTCTACTCATTCTGACCTGGCTTTGGCCTCACTGGAGTCCTTGTTAGTCCTCGAATAGACCAGTCAAAATCCTGCCTCAGGGCCTTTGCATTAGCCATAGTTTTGTCTGTGACACTGTTCCTTCAAACATTCCCATGCTCCTTTACCTCCTTCAAATCTTTGTTTTAAGGTCACCTGATTATAGCAGCATGCCCTGACCACCATATTTGAAATAGTAATTCGCATTAGCACCCCCATTCTTACTATCCTGCTTCATTTTTTTTCATGATACATATCACTTTCTAACATATTATATAATTTACTTACATATTAGTATTAACTTATCTAAATTCTTATATATTCTTTGTCTACCTCCACTAAAATAGAGGTTCTATGATTTTTAACTCTTCAATTTTCTTCTCCATCACCAGCACTCCAAAAATGCCCACCATATAACAGGTATCCAATAAGTAGTTATTGAGTGAAGAAGAGCAGTTACATTCTAGAAACTATAAGGATAGGTCTAAACTATGTCCATTGCTTCTATAGTCTTTGTGTCTTCTCAGTGTCTGACACACAGAAGGTGCTCGATCAATATTTGCTGGTCAGATGAACATATAGATTTCATCAAAAATCCAACAGAACATTTGAGTGTAACTAAAGAGAAAGGGGCCTAAAATAGTTTCTTGAATTTAAAATACTTTAAATTTGTGGCCTGTCAGAAAATTGTTCCTTTCTATAATGGTTCTTACCAGGCTCAAAGGGGGTTTTGCAAAAAGATTAATAAATATTAAATGACAAAAACACTATTAATTAATCAGCAAATGTCTTAATTAATTTGTACTTAACTTCTAGCCCATCCCCATTTATAGAGTAAAAGGCAGCAGAAGGCAGGCCATTAAAACCTACAAACCATCTTCTATTTTGCAAAGCAGATTTCTCCATGAGGAAAGTATGCAGTAATGATCAGGAATGGTGTACCTGGTCCTGAGGCCTATCCACTCCTCGCTTCACATTCTGAATAGAGAGATTCAGAGATGATATTTGTTATTTTGCTACTTGTTAAGGCAGGCATAACATTTCTAAGGAATATCCAGTTGGAAAGGAAAGAGGGTTGTCACTATTAAATATGAAGTGCACTATTCTGTTAGGGCATCCAAAAGCAATTAATTATGCTAGTGGCAGGAGACCTCTCATAGCTCTCATTTGTTATATGTAATTATCTAAATGAATTATGCTACAATTTGAGACACCTTTCATAAATCTAGAATCATAAAATTAGAAGTAATAAAGACTGAAGATCTTAGGATATGCAGGTGTGTTTGCCGGGATTCCATGATCTCTCTACATTAGTTACCAGAAATATCATGTACCCAATTCTGTCATCATTATTAGCACTTCTCAGATGATCAGACCTCTGAATCCTGAAGAATCTGCTCTTCACTCTCTCCTGGATGCCTCCTTGGGCCATATGGACTAGATCTCAATGTTCAGAGTATTGCACAAGGGTCAGGAAAGGTTTGCATAGGAAAGACATGTTATAGGTTTTGTACCTCAAAGGCATTTCCCACAGAAACTTCCTTATGCATGATTGCTAGATTCCTCTATTGTTACATCTGAATATTGTTTTAAAATATTTTAATGCTACTATTAAATATATATTTTTATGGCCGAATTGGGTACCTATATTCCACACATAGTATCTCTCTTGGAAACATTTTCTAAGTACCAATAACACACTCATAGTTAAAAAATTGTCACTACCATTAACATTTTAAATAACTATCTGATGGTGAAATAAACCTTTTGGCTCTCTTCAGAGCATGTGACTCACTTGAACCAGATATGTTTGCTGTATTTATGCTCTCAATTTGTAAGAAACTATCTGAAATTTTTGATAGAAATTCTTTTCCATCCTGGCCCTATCTTCCTACTTCTAGGCTTATCTCTCAAATTGTCACGTAGCCATTCTCAGTTCTTGTGAGTATCTCAGACTCAATGAGTACAAATCCAAAATTATTATCTCCTTCCTAAGCCTTATCCCTACCAAAAGTAGTATCTGCCCTGAATATGCTATTGGTTTGAATTCTATCAACATTCTCCTGGTATTAACACGTGAATTAGCTTTTTCTACATCCTCAATGTCAGTTTTTACCCACATATTATCAGCCTCAAGTTTTTTTTTTTAATTAAATTTTCTAAATGACTCCAGGATTCTTCTCCTCCTATCTATACCTAGTGTTACTAATCTAAGATCTCATCATATCCCATCTGGCTTTTTGGAAATAGGTTCCTTGGACTCAGTGCTTCAAAGCACTTATCTATTTTATAACTACTGGAACTTTCTTCCTAAATCATTAGGAAAATAATTCCTTTTTAAAAAACCCTCAGGGGCATTCTATTACTTAAAGAATTAGTTTCAAATGCTTTAACATAATCTTAGTTTCCAAAAGACCATCTGAGCCTGTTCCTTACTATATGAACACCGACCCCTCTGTGATATCTGTATTCCTTGAAATTAGGGATTCTAAATCTTCTTTGTACCATAGATTCCTTTGCCAGTCTGATGAAGTGTGGACCCCTTCCTAGAACAATATTTTGAATGTATAAAATAATAAACATAAGATTACCAAGGAAAGCACTTCTACAGTGATAAAATTCTGTCTCCGCACTCTGCTCTTTATGTCTTTGTGGCTTTGCTTGTGAACCTCTTAGCAAAGAAGTGCCCCTAAACCTGCTCCTCTGATTATTGAAATCCTTCTCATCTTTCAAAGCCTATTCAAGTCCATCTCCTCTATGCATCTTTACCTAGACTCCCTACCCCATCTGTATTCACCACGTTGCCCTTTGCTCTCTCACAGTAGATCCTTTGTATTTTTAATTAGTTCTTTCTTAAGTTAGCCCCTTATTATAATACATTGTATTAATTGACAATGATGGGCCAAACTGTAAACTAAAGGGCCATTTTCACACATAGTGAATTCATGTTTTCATGTTTTTTTGAAAAACACTATGAAATATGCATATGAGGAGGAAACTGAGGTCCAGAAATTTTGTTTGACAAAGATAATACAATTTGTTGCTCTTATAAGTTATTTGAGGAAAGGAATATTTTGTCTTTTTTATACCTTCTCAGGATCTGTGGAATAATATTTGTTCAGTAGTGTTTGCTAATGTGGATTTAAAAATTAGAATATCTGGGAAATACTTATCTCCCAGTATTTAATGCCCCTAGGGTCCATAGGAGGACAGAGAGGTACCTAGATACTAGCACTGTTCCTAGTTCAATGTATGTCAAATCAACAAGTGACTAAATCCTTCTTAACATACTATAAACTCTTCTAGTTTCTAGCAGTTTCACAAATTGAAAATTACATAGGGGTTTTCAGCAGTCTGTTCCCTAAAACATTATCTCTTGTTTTGCACTCTTGATAAAAAAAAAAAAAACCAGTTATAAAAATAGAACAAATAAAATTTGTTTGGAATCGTAATGAATTCAGGTAATGTTTATATTTGTGATGATAGAAGTTGTATAACCTATTTCCTATGTTACTCCCTTGGTGAAAACAATAAAAGCAATCCAATTTTAAATATAATTCCCTTGTACCAGTTTCACTTTTTTGTAGTCAAACATGTTTCTGCAGGTTTTCCTAAAACAACTAGGCAATCTATTTTTAAATAAAAACACTTATCCAAAAAGATTTGTTTTGCAATAGTAATGCTTTTATTTCAAAATATTACTTTGAGTTTAAAAATAATATATTTATGATCTTTAATTTCTTATGTGGAAGTTTCTTATATATAGCAAGTATTTTGCAAGGAATTGCATCTTTTGATTTGCCAATGCTTTTGCATGCTGTGAGCTATAAATTAATGTATAATTAATTCATTATCACTATCCTTTTCTCATGACCTTTTCTATTATTATAATATATAGCAAAGACTAAATCAGATGTCCCAGGGTAATTAATTTTCTATTTTCACAGCTCCAGATGGTCCTCCTGAAAGTGTGTATGTAGTAGCAACATCACCTTTTAGCATCAACATCAGCTGGAGTGAACCTGCCACCATTACTGGACCAACATTCTATCTAATTGATGTCAAATCGGTAAGGTGTGTCTTACCTTCTGCAAAAGACAGTATAGAGAGTGATTAAGAATACACATTTTGGAACCAGACAATTTGAATTTTAATCCTAGCTCTATTTGATCTCAGACAACTTACTTAACCTGTGTGTGTTTCAGTATCCACATCTGTAATTAATAATAGTAACCAGGGTACAGATTTTGTGAAGATGAAATTAGAAAATAAGCATAAAGAACTTTAAACATTGCTTAAGTAAGGCTCCATAAGTGTAAGTAAGGCTCAATAAATGTAACTAAAGTATTATTAGCCTGATCATCATTATATTTATTCCCAGGGTATAGATAATGTATATAAACAAGTGGTTAAGTTGATGATCTGGGGATCCCTGGGTGGCTCAGCGGTTTAGTGCCTGCCTTCAGCCCAGGGCATGATCCCAGGGGTCCTGGGATCGAGTTCCGCTTCAGGCTCCCTGCATGGAGCCTGCTTCTCCCTCTCCCTCTGCCTGTGTCTCTGCCTCTCTCTCTCTCTCTCTCTCTCTCTGTCTCTCATGAATAAATAAATAAAATCTAAAAAAAATTGATCATACATTGATTTAAAATACAGTAAAAAAAGTACTTGCTTCAGCAGCATATATACTGAAATTGAAATGATACAGAGAAGATCAGCATGGCTTCTATACAGGGATGACATTCAAATTCATGAAGCATTGCATATTTTTAAAAATAATAATAAATACAGTAAAAAAATCATAATACAAAAGGCGAAGGGAGAAGGCATTAGGAGAAATAGCTCCCAAATCACGTAACATCAGAGCTTAATTTTGAAAAATACTGGAAGCAGAACACGAAAAAGAAATGATAATAAAAGTGTGAAAAGGAAGATTCATTCACGAAAAAGTAAGCAGTTCAGGAATCCTTGATAAAAGCATTTGAGAAAAGTGCTGAGAGAAGCTGGATTAGGAGGCAGACTGTATAACATGTAACAGAGTTTGGGTTTCATGATTAAGACCAGTGGAGTATCCACTGAGGAATTAAAGCAGTGTTCGGATATAGATTTCTATTTTATAGGATCAGCTTGGTTGCACTGCAGAGGATAGAGCAGTCTTATTGCAAAATTAGGCAAGGGAACAAGAAACTATGTGTAAGTGGGAAAGAAAAGATAAGGACAGAGGAAATGTAGCAAGGGAACAGAATGAAAAATAATTTAAGGATTTGGTGGAAAAAATCAGGGATGGTGAGTGAAAGGAATAATCAAGGATGGCTTTAAGATATATGATTTGGAAAATTGGGAGGAGAAAGAAATTTGTAAAGGAGAGGAATGAATTCAGTATTAGATGCATTGAGCTTAGGATGCCTGGGAGTCCTCCAGGTGAAGACACTCCCTTAACACTATTATATACAGGTCTGCAGCTCAGGAGAAGAAATCTGAATTTGCAGATTGAGCAAGTGTGGGTATTTAGAGGATAGCTGAAATGAGAGGAAGGGATGAGATTAAATATATAACATGTAGTGTAAGGGCCCCTTCTGTAAGAACTAACCTGAGGATTGAATGAATGAATCCTGGGGAGTCCAAACATTTAAATAAGAGGCCTGTGAGGAGACCAAACTGGAGTGGCCATCCAGACAGAGGGAAACCCAAGCATGAGAGTCCAGCTTTTCACCAAAACAGGGTAAGGTGCTCAACAACATAAGTAATACCGAGTTGCTAACTAGGATTAGGATTGGAAAAAACTCATTTTAGTGCCCTGCTTGGGTTTGACTGGGCCTGATGACACTCTGTTCTCATGGCATATAATGCAAGGAGTCAGATAACTTATGGTGAATTCTCCTTCCCCTGCCTTGCTGTCTCTACCTATCTTTTGTTTAACATTTATAATTTTATTATGTCTTTATGTTATTTCTAAAATGGAAGTGCTTCTATCTCAAAAGACATGTCGTGATTAAAATGAAAATTTAAAGGTTGGTAGGTTTGTACTCCCATTTAGTCTTCTGTTTATGTTCCTTTTTAGAGCATATTTGTGAAGATTTTTAGTCATAATTAGCTAAAAGTAATCAACACGCATGACAAATGCTCTGGGAATATGTATTAAAAGCAAATTATAAAATGATAATACTGTGTTTCTGTCAAAGACATTATTAATAAAAATAGTTTTCTCTTGAAATTTATGCTTAAAGGAAGGTAAAATAAAATATTTTTAAAAGGTGATTTATAACCTCATTCTTTTAGTATTGTTATAGAGATTAAAAATGGGCAAGGGAAAGAGAGAAGGGTGACTAACATGGTAATTGCTTATTTTATATCAGTTACACAGTACCCTCTCCATAGCATTACCTTATCTTATCTAACATTTTAATGTAAATATATTATCTTCATTTTGCATAAAGGGCAATGGAGGCACAAAGCTGATAGCTTCTCAAATAATTAAGACCTGGCTATAATCAGCAAACAGTGGTGTGTTAGAAGAAAGGAAAAAACACCAAGCAGCAAATAAAATCTGCCAAGTTGAAATATATGCTCATCCAAACCTTTTGGGTCACAGCCAGCATTGTACTAGGTGCTGGGTACCTAGAACAAGTCTGATGTGGTCATTGTCTTTATAGAGCTTATCTGCAGCTCATTTCATGGGTATAAAATTATATGCTGTCAAGAATCATCAACGCCTAGGCCAGAGAAGAACACATATCATTGGATTTAGGACTTATGGTATAGCCTGGCCTTTGCCAAATACCAGACATGGGGACATAAAACTCTTTTCCTGAGAGACTCAAACAAAACTTGACCATCTTAAAGACATATGGGCACAGATATCACGCCCTGGGTGATACTACCAGAAATTCATGCATTTTTGTAGTCCTTTGTTCATTGTTCCCTTTATTTTTTTTTCAAAGTAACAAATATTGTTTCTATTCACCAAAACAAGGATGCAAAGCATAAGTAGCTCACACTCTAGTGAAAGACATCTAAACAGCTAACTATAGAGTATGAGTTATGCAGTTTTTTTTGGAATATAAACTAGCAAAGTAATTCAGGTTCCTCTTATGAGGGTCATAATGATACAGAGGACACTTCACAGAGTAGGTTAAATTGGTTGTGGGACTTGAGGAACAAATAGAGGTGCACCAAGTGGGGAAGGGTGTGTATGGGACAGAAAAAAAGAAAAAATAGAATCAAAGTCTAATTACTAACATTGCTTATAAAACCACCATACTACAAAAATGATGGGACATGTTTCATAATAATAACAGATGACCAAATATAATATGAGCAAAGAAGCTTGGAATTGATGGAAGGGAAATAATGAATCAAAAAGATCTGAAGTTTCTGTCTTGGGTAATTGGACAAATAATGATTAACAGTGACAGAGTAGGTTTAGTGAAGAAAGATAATGAATTTTGGTACATTCTGTATTTGAGGACCCAACATACTTTTTGGATTTTAGTAACTATTTTTTAAGATACAGTAGATCACAGGCATGTTATGTCATATTTTTACAACTCAATATTTAGTATGCACTCTTTTAATGGAAGACATTTAAAATAATTTAATTTTACTTTGTAAGATCAGGCCGAGTGTAGTAGTTTAGAGAGTTCTGGATTCTTGAAAGACTTGGGAGAAAATCCTGTCTCTGCTATTAAATAACTATGGAATGTTGAGGAATTCTCCTCAACTCTATAAAAGCAGAATTCAAATAGGTATAGTGGTCAGTCAAGTAACATAAATGAGCAGTCAAAATGAAGCCAACTGGGTGAAACAGTGATGAATTGGAGACTCGTGCCCCATTATAGAAGTCAACTACTCGTCTCTAGATAATTATTACCCAGCATGAATATAAGCCTAGTCTTAAGGAAAATTTAAAAAGCTAGATTTTGTGTGATGTTTAAATGCTGATAGCTACCTGAATCACACACACTTTCTGTCGGTGAGGACATGCACTTGGTCAATAGTATCCCTACGCCAATTTGTTTTTCTGCCACTTTGGAGACAGGAGGCAACTCCCTTCAATGCTCTAAAGTGGGAACAATCTATTTGACTTTGCAATGCTCATGTTATTTATCAGCCTTTTGCTGTGTCTCTCATAGCAACACCTTCTTTAAGTTGAAAAAGCTCTTAGAAAAGAGCATTTGAAGAATATTTTGAACAAAAAAATCTTTCAGATCAGAGTTACATGGGAGGGTCAAGTGGAAAATTAACTTAGTAGTGCGAACAGTGTACATAATCTGGATTTAAGCATTTCAGTTTGGATTCCTGAGAGTGGCATGCATACTAGGATTTCAAATTTTTGGATGTTCATCTTGGGAAAAACCATTCTTTTCATTGCTAGAAACTTTAGTTATGTTTAATCCCTGCAGTGAATAGGCCAGACTCTCCATCAAATGCAGATTATGTTTGAACACACTATACAATTATATTTAATATACCCAAAGATACTCATTTTTACACATCTAATAATTATAATGTCCACAGTTAATTGAGTCCTTATCCAGTGCCATGCATAGTGCTAGACTGGAGTTTTTCAAATTGCAATAATGACCATATTTTTTTAAATGAACTGGAACAAAGTTTAAAAGTAGAAAATATCAAAGTGCATTTCAGAAACAAGTTGCATTCCTGAAAATTGTTTTTAAGATTTTAAGTTAAAAGAAGTATGTGTGAACACTTCTTTTGAACACTCATACATCCTGAGTTATGTTACAAAATGTGTTTCCTTTTTGTTTCTCATGGCAAAAAAATATCAAAATCTCTGTGCCAGCTACTTCAGATCTGTTTTTCTAAATCTCACAGAACACTCTAAATAGATATTATTGCTCCAATTTTACATACACAGAAAGTAAGACACAGAGAACATAAGTGACCTGTCAGATGCTATAGGAACTATTACATGACCAGGTTGGTATTTGAACCCTTAATGATTGATTACCAAAACCTCTATTGTTTATCCTATAAAACATTGGAGTAGAAAGTAGAGTTCCATTGACACAGAGATAATAGTTGCTTGTTCATTAGATGGATTGATTGTGGTTGACTAGTTGATTTTTTTTCTTTTACTTTCACTTGTTGAAATAACTGCTTATAAGTAGACTGTTAAAGTGGCACCTTAGATCTCCCAGGACAATCAGACTGTAAGAAAAAATAATTTAAAACTTGGCTAGTTAGATATGCCACAGGTAGCTTTGTATTATTATATTTTGGTGATTTGGATCTCAACTGTGTCTTCCTTTAATCACTAGCTATTTTTTCCTATAGGTAGATAGTGATGAATTTAATGTTTCCTTCATCAAGTCAAATGAGGAAAATAAGACCATAGAAATTAAAGATTTGAAAATATTCACAAGGTATTCTGTGATGATCACAGCATTCACTGGAGACTTGAGTACTGCATATGTAGATGGAAAGTCAAGTGCTGAAATGATTGTTACTACTTTAGAATCAGGTAAGGCATATTTTCCATCATTGCTAAAAATTGGCTGAGATTTAAGTGTCTTTCTTAGGATTTCTCACAACACCCCCTAGAATAGGTATGTGTTATAGGAAATTTTTTACGTGTATAAAGTATAAAATTCAATGACTCACCATAACTGACAAAAGTGAAGTTTTCTATTTATATTTTTTAGGCCAATTGGAATTATGTAGAATAATCAATTCTTGGAAATACAGAAACAAATTCGTTCATAATAATATCCTAATTGTATTTTGTGTGTTTATTTACACACTAGTATTTCAGAAATTGAGTTACCTTGCCGAAAGGATGGTTTTTCAAATGACCTGTGGCCAATAATGCTGTATGTAAAATTCCATTTTAATTATTTCTGTCCATGACTTAAATGCACATTAAAGTAATAATAATCTGTCATTATGTAATATGGAATTCAAAATTAGAATCCAGGTCATGCTTACCATATCTGTTTTCCTTACCTAATCAAATGGCATGTTTTATTATATAACTTATTTAATAAATGTCAGAATCCATACAGATTTTCTCAAGTGCCTACGAACAGGGTCTGAATGAATAATAAGTTTGTAACCAATAGGAATTAAGTGTGGAAAGTCAGCTTCCCAGAACTTGCTTGCCCTATCCTCCTTCAGACACCTCATGTTCTTTGCCACCAGACATATCTTTGGAAAGAGCACATGAAGGGATGTGTTGCTATAGTTTATTTGTTGCTCTCTGTAAGGTAAGTATAGGAGATAAAAAATGTTTTTTTTAGCTAGTTTTTTCATTATATTATATACTCTATAAAGTTATGGTTCTACATTAAAAGATAACATCTTATCCTCAGCACCCTAAAATTTCATTTGTTTCCATTTTACTGCCACTTATATCCCAGATATTTATTTTCTTATGATACCTTTTAATACTCCTCCAGCATCCTCCCTGTGAGGAAAGATGCTACTGAATTTATTCATGCTCATACCATAAAACACTGATTGTCAAATCTTAATGTGCTACCTCTCCCAAAGATATCATTGTTAAATAAATTATTACTAAATCTCTAAGAGTAGAATTTTACATGTAAACCCAAAGATATTTAGAGAATAAGAAATTCTTTCCAGAATTCAGAGAATTGTTTCACTTATCCAACCTTAAACCTGATCTGAGTTTTAGATAAAATAATTAATTAATAATTAATATCTTTATAGCATTGAAATGTATAACAACAAATGTGAAAATATGTCTGGAGCCAATTTAACTTTCACTTTAGCTATGCGTTTTTCCACTTAATATGTGATATTTGGCATTATAACATATTTATGTGTTCCTCTTTTTTTCTCCCTGTTATTTATTTACTTAATTTTTTGCTTGCCACAGGGTGCTGTCTATAAAGATATTTGCAAGATAATAAATAAATAATAAATAAAGGTACTAAAACTTGAGCATCCAAACCTTTGACTGCCTAATATTAGCGGCCTTCCTCTTGGAAATTCCTTTACTTAGTATGGAAATATATCCATTTCAATTTGATCAAAATAGATATATTCATGCAATTAGTCATTTATATAAAGAACATTATTATGTAGTACATCAAGAACTAGTTCCTATATCCATAAATCAGTTTTATTCCCATGTATGTCATTTTCTTTCATGATAATGCACTGATACTTAGCTGTAGTATATTAGGCTAATTTTTATTTTTCAAAAATAACATGGAATATGTAGAATATATAAAGAATTCTCACAACTCAACATTTTAAAAAATCCAATTAGAAATGACTAGACCTTTCATCATGGGGGAGATACAGTGGGCAAATAAACTCACGATAACATACATTTTCAGCATCATTAGCTATTAAGGAAATGCAAATTAGAACCACAATGAGGTATCACTATGCATCTACTAGAACAGAGAAAATAATAATTATGAAATAGTGATGATGCCAAGTGCTGGCAAAGATACAACGAGACCGGACTTTTGATATGTTGGTAGTGGAATGCAAATGAGTATAGCCACACTGAAAAGTAGTTGACAACCTTTTATGAAACTAAACATGTATGCAGAGCGCATGACCTAGCAGTCATACTCTTGGGCAATTATCACAGAGACTCAAAAATTTATGTTCACACAAACAGCTGTAAATGAATGTTAATAGCAGTTTTGTTAGTAATAACAAAAAAAATTGGAAACAACCCAAATGTTTTTCTATGATTAAACAAACTTTGGTGTATCCACAAAATGGAGCGCTACTCAGTAATAAAAAAGAAAAGAAAAAAAAGAATGAACTGTTGCTACATACCTCAAGCATTATGCTGTTTTTTTTTTTTTCTCTTAAAATGACAGAACTATGGAGGACAACTGTTAGTGTTGTGGGAATCTATAAGGTGCAAATGCCAGAGGATAGCAGAGGAAGTTTCTTTATGGAAATAGGATAATTTTGTACCTTATTTCTGGTGATGATTGCAGGAGTTCTTTACATGGAATAAAATTATATAGGACTGCACAGATTTATAAAAGCATGAAAAAATGATGAAATCTGAATAAGGTCTGTAATCTAATTAACAGTATTGTACCAATGTCAATATCCAGGTTTGATATTAAACTATAGTTAGGTAAGTTGTCACCACTGGTAAAAGCAGGGGGAATGTTCCATGGACTGTATGTACCATTTTTTGCAAATTCCTGTGAGTCTATGTTATCTTTAACTAAACAGTACAAAAAAGTTATAGAAATGCATTCTATGCATTTATAAAATGGATTCATAAAAATAAGTGTAAAAGTCAAAATAAACAACCAAACTAACTGAATCCCCATTATGATTTCTGTGACCTATAGCTGTCAATGATTCTACATATATCAGCCATTTTTGCTTGCTTTCATAACATATACAGTTTAAATAATTTGTGGAGAACATTTTATAAGCAGAAATTTGAGTCAAATAATTTTATAGGGAGATTAAAAAGAGGAACACAGATTTTTAAAAATTAATTGGTTAATATTTCATTTTAGTTCCCAAGGATCCACCTAACAACATGACATTTCAGAAGATACCAGACGAAGTTACAAAATTTCAGTTAACATTTCTTCCTCCTTCTCAACCCAATGGAAATATTCAAGTTTACCAAGCTCTGGTTTACCGAGAAGATGATCCTACTGCTGTCCAGATTCACAACCTCAGTATTATCCAGAAAACTGACACATCTGTCATTGCGATGTTAGAAGGACTAAAAGGTGGACATACATATAACATCAGTGTAAGCATTCATTGCTTTTAATTACTCACCTATTTTACAAAGTCAGTTTACAAACTCAGCATTCAAAACTACCGCACCCCCTGTGCACACTAGATTTCTCATGTCTTTTTTGCAGGATTGTGTGAGACATGCCAACAGAAAATAACATTTAAAGAAATGAAATTTCTAATTTCCTATTATAATTCAACAAACACTATGAAAATATGTAGGTAACAAAAAAATTTTCCCAACAATAGCAGAAATGCAAAAATAAAATAAAGGGAAAATGCATGTTAAAAGCAAGAGAGCAGTGATATGTAGAGATAATTGTACCTAAAGGGAAGCTGTTTAAGTGTGCTTGTAAGTGGAAAATGGAAAAGCAAATTTCAAAGGCAAGGGGCAGAAGTAACTATTCACGTGTTTGAAATTCACATGCATTTCACGTAATAATTACTAAAGCTAAGCATTTTACATCCTAATTTTAAATTATCTGTGTGTGTTTATGTACATACAGACACACAATTTATTTCAAAAACGTGCTTTTGTAGCATGTCTTAAAACTTTCAAATAGAATTATATGGGTCACAATACCATCTTTTAAGCAACATAGAGTTCACCCTGAACTTTCAGGTAGCTTTTCCTACCAGTTCTTTATGATTATCATGTAATCATCAGAACACTGTTATTAATAATTTGTATTCATATGTATATGTTTTTCTCTACATTATATCTATATATCTGCATAGCTTCATTTCTTCCTTCATTAACTATATATCTTATTTTATAAGATATATAAAATAAAAATAAAATACATTTAGTTTATAAAATCAAAATATTTATATATGTAAATATAAATAAAACATAAAATGTATTTATATTTATATATAAGTAAAATATTCTCGTAGGATTCTTGTTGCACCTCCCATTAGATGGACCAACATTGTGGAAGGTCTGTTAGAGGGAGAGTGGTTAAGAGAATGAACTGATCTGGGTTCTAATCTTGGCTCTATGGTTTGTTTCTGGGCAGTTGCCTCAAATCTGTACCTCAGTTTCTTTATCTAAAAAAAAACAATAAATTCTACTCCTGAAACTAATATTACACTGTATGTAGTAACTGGAATTTAAATAAAAACTTGAAACAAAAAAAGAGAAAAAAACAGTTATAGCAATAATGACTTCTTTATAGGATTTTTGTAAAGATTAAAGAAATATAGTTATGGGAAGTCATGAGTGCTCCATCTGTTTTGCCTTTTGTGAATAAGAGAAAAAAATAGGAAACAAAGTACAACTAATTCATAATTTAAACAACAATAAAAAATTATCTTATTGTTCAGAAAATGCAATTTATAGTTCCTCAACACCTGGGAGTTTATTAGAAATATATATAACTTTAACATCTGTCTCAACCTACTGAATCAAAACCTACATATCTTCATTCAACAGGTTTACAAATGACTTCTTTGTACAAAGCAATTTGAGTAGAGCACCTAGCTTTTCATTTATTATCTCACTTAAATGTCAGGCTGTACCACAAAGAAGTAAAAATAATGAAGCATACCATAATATCACTTTTCATTTTTAATACTCCTTTTCTTAAATTTACAAACTCCAATACATACTTCCTTTAGATATTTTTTAACCACATATTTTTGGCTTATTTACCATACCTACTGCATCACATGTATTATTATAACCTTAATTCAATAAAAACATTCCCAAAGTATCTATAGTGTGGAAATATAGAAAATAAGTTAATTATTTTTGTGTTTGTCAGTGAATTTGGGCAAGAATATAGTCTTTGTTTTATAGAGCAAAAAAAAAGTAAAAGAAGTTGATCTACAGCATGAAGTGAATTGAAAGGATTCACATTTGTGTGAATTACCTTCTGTCTATACAAACAGAAATGTTTTATGAGTATATGCTGCATTATGTGGGTTATAGCGTCGGATACTTTGGGGCAGGGGTGAAGAAGGGCATAAAGGCCAACTTTCAGAGGGATGATTTAATACAGGAAAACAAGGAGGTTGAAGGAATAGGATTTCATTTCAGAGAAGGAAAAAAAAGAGGGTCTTGAATATGGATTTAAGAAAGCCAGAGTTACAGATGTTAGAGTAGATGAAGGAGTGTAGACATAGTGGCTTTTCTGCGTCTGTTCCTCCTACGGGTTCACATTGAATCCACATCCTTTCCTGGTCACTATGATAGGGCTGTTTAAGTCACTCGGCCTTTGTTCTCTGGACTTAGTACTATAAGATCAATTTTAAGAACTATTTTATTATTAATGTTCTTTCTACCCATATTGTATTCATTTGAGTAAGTGCAAGAAAAATATAATGAGTAGGACATATGCAGTTGTTTTTAAAAGCAGGATCATTTAAAAATTATATGACCCTAATAAAAACAGTAACAAGATGTTTCTTCTTTTTAGGTTTATGCAATCAACAGTGCTGGCGCAGGGCCAAAGGTTCAGATGAGAATAACTATGGACATTAAAGGTGCATATATGAGCTGCCTTCCTGTGAAATACTGTTGTCTTAATCAAAGAGTAATTACAATTGAATTCTGTTATTAGAGTTAAGAATGTAGTCAAGCTTTTACATGACGCATATGCAATAATAACTACATACATTAAGTAATAAAGCCTGCTTATTAAAGCTATACTTAAAATGTCTAAATAATAATGCAAATTACCATCTTAAAGAAAGAGAATGCCCACCTGCTATTTATCTTATATTTCTCTCTTTCTAAACTTAAAGTTTTCTGAGACAAATTTTATACTCTGTTATTTTATGTTTTTTAATTTTATTGAAAATTCATTGTTAAATTACTCGTGCTGGGCTTTGATTTATTTTAATTAGATACCTTGACTGATCTTTATCTTGAAAGTAAAATTCTTCTCAGTTAATCAGATAGTGTTTAACTTTATGATTCTGACTGTAAAGTAGATCTATTAATTCATTATTCTGACAGGTATTGTTTATAGAAAATATAATTAAAATTAGAGGCTCCCCCTCCCCAAGGCAGTCCACAAAAACAAAATAAACGTTAAGAGGAATGTAGGACCAGCCAGTCATTCAGGATACTATCTCTTCCTGACTGAAAACATACAAGCAATTGTAACATCTCTCTCAAAATCTGTAATAAAACCTGCAAAGAGATTAAAAAACTGAGTTGTAGGGACCTTTAGTAGAATGCTTCTCATTCTGAAGCAAAAAGTTAACTTTTTTTAGTCTTTGGTAGCACAGTAGAGCACAGTGATTAAAAGTGTCAGCTCTAGACTGAATCTAGGGTCAAATTGCTGAGACTGAATCCTGTATTGGCCACGTGATATCTGCTTGGCTTTAGGCAAGTGCCTTAACCTCTATAAGCTTGTAAAATTCAGATAATTCTAGTTCCTACCTCAAGGATTGTTGTGAAGATTTAAAGAGATAATCTCTGAAAAACCCTTAGGACAGTACCTGGAAACTCATACCACTAAGAATAAGAAATATTCACTGTAAGATGAAGCTGATAAATTTTATCTTTTCATCAGTGGTAGTTTATATAGTTGTAATATTATTTAAAAGCACCAAGATTTGTTTTTTAATTCATTCCAAACTACTTGGAATGTATGAATGCATAAGCTCTTCAAAAACATCAGGTGTTTTATAAAACAACTTCATAAAGAAAAATATCTTAATATCTTTTTCTTATTCAAAGGCAGGACAGGTAGGTATGCAGGTAACAACAGATACATTATATTAATCCTTTAGCAAAACTTCCTATGTCTATCGCTTTCATCATTCCCAGGTAAAGAGGATTAGTTCTGACTTTCCACTCCTTAGATAGGACAGATTGACTCATGCTTAGTCATCTAGACAAAATATGTGAGTACTAGTGGTAGTGGTGAGGTCCTAGAGAAATATTTTTCTCTAGTAATATGCATGATTGGTTTTGGTGACATAAAGTGATATTGAATTAATAGTAGTCTCATTAAATTTACATTTGACACATAAAGTTGGATAATCATGTCCAATGCCAGATTCCTCTAACCAGAAACCTTTCCTTAGGGACTCTCCAGTGGCTTGGCTAAGAGTTTCTCAGAAATCCCTAAAACCTGAGGCTCTTCCTGAATCCTTCCCTCCTTCCTTACACAGGTATTAGACCTGTGATCTGTGGTCTAAAGGCTCTTGCCACCTACTTCTGTTCCCTGATCCTGGATTTTTCATAGATATTTCCTCCAATAAACTTCCTACACATCTAATATTGTTATAGTCCTTACATCTCAGAGGAGTAAGCCAAAGGATTAAGCCAAAAATATTTGATTCAAATCCTGTTATTTCCCTTTTACAGCTATGTGACATAAGGCCATTTCCTCATCTATAAAATGGAAATGGTATTGCCAATTTTATGGCATTATTGAGAGGCTTTTTAAAAATTTAATAAATATGGAAATTGAAGTTTGATTAAGCAACTTGCTGTGCTCAAACAGCTGGAATATGTATATAGCTATGGGATGAGACAAGCAGAGTTCCTATAAATATTGATTTTGGAGATACTTGTATGTATTGGTGATAAATATGAATTATTGTGACACTTTCAGAAATTATTCTGGCAATATCTATCAAAGTTAAAAATGTTTTTATCTTCTGTTCCAGAAATTCTGTTCTTAGATATCTATTCCATAGAAATAAAAGGATCAGTAAAGAAGGCTAAATATATAAGGCTGGTTATTTCAGCATATGTTCAAAACCTGAAGGAAAAGGGAATTCCCATTACTAGCTGAATGATCAAATAAATATGATGTTGTCACACCACGATATACAACATAGTCATTAAGAAGAATGAGTTGGCCCCATTACTTGGTGACTTGGAAAGAATTATATGAGTCATATTTAAATGAAAAAAAAACAATATGTGGAGTGATTATAATACATAATATAACCCCATTTAAAAAACCAAACAGTAAAAATAATCCTTTATGTATAACTTTATGTATTTTGTATGATTATGTGACCCTGGAGAAAAATATAAGAGGATATCGTCACTCATATATTTGACTTGGATAAACTGTAGGAGGGATGATGGTATGACTAGAATAGGAATTGATGAATCAGCTAAAGGAAGTAAAAGAAGAAAAAACCCACTAAAATATTAGTATGATATAATGCACTTATAAAAATTATATAAGTGAGAGCATAAATTATTAGAATTCTTTTAATATGTGAAGAGGAGTCAGATGCCTAAAAATCACACCTGAGCCCCCATATCTCAAGCAAGTATGAAATATACAATTAAAGCATTGGGAGATAATAATTGCTAAACATCTGTTGTATTTAAACAACGCTGTTTCATTTGTTATGTGTGTCTGTCATCATTGTATCTATAAAACATCTGCATGAAATGAGAATTTAAAATTTTTTCCTTCTCTTCAGAAACAAAAAAACCCAATTGCAGTGATATTTCTTCTTTGTTTTAAGCTCCAGCACGACCGAAAACCAAACCAATCCCTATTTATGATGCCACAGGAAAATTGCTTGTGACTTCAACAACAATTACAATCAGAATGCCAATATGTTACTACAATGATGATCATGGACCAATCAAAAATGTACAAGTGCTTGTAACAGAAGCAGGAGGTATCATCAGTTGTCAACCTATCTCGTTAACTTATAGAGTATAAATTGCTGAATGCTAAAGTAATTTCCATTTAAAATTAGTAATATAAGGTTGGCTGCCTATCATTGCACAACTTTTGAGCTTAATAAAGTGTTAATATTATCACGAATTATACTCATCATTAATTTATACCTAAAATACTTAGCCAAAATAAGAAAGGGCATAGTTAAAATATGTGATTTCTTTATGCTATGTACTGGTTGGATTATTTGGTTTGGATGAGATGGAGTCTTGATAGCTTCTTTGAAGGTATGAAACAGAAGAATTACCCTTGACTGAGAGATATTCTTTGTGTCTCTGAGAAGTCATCCTCCACAACAAAGCCTGTAGATTCATGTGTTTGGGGAAAGATAAGGTTCCCTGTTTATCCAGGTAAATCAGCTGAATCATCCCTGGTTGTTCATAGAGTGGCAGATGTTGCATCCAGATTTTCCTCATGCAATTATAGAAATGCTCTTCAGAAATGTGAAAATACTTTCATATATTACTTGTAATTATATCCTTTTTTTCTGAAAATAGCTCAGCATGATGGAAATGTAACAAAGTGGTATGATGCATATTTTAATAAACCAAGGCCATATTTTACAAATGAAGGCTTTCCTAACCCCCCATGCATGGAGGGAAAGACAAAGTTCAGTGGCAATGAAGAAATCTACATCATTGGTGCTGATAATGCATGTATGATTCCTGGCAATGAAGATAGAATTTGCAATGGGCCTCTGAAACCAAAAAAACAATACTTGTAAGTATAGCTCATGCTTACTAATGCATCGTGATAGCAAGCAGGAAAACATTTTTTTTTTCATCCATCTACTCATCCTTTCATCTTTCCAGTAAGCACTGGACATCCATAATGTATCATGACCTGACACATGGTAAAGACCAACAAGATATTGTCCTTACATTTCATAAATATACAGTTCCATAGGAAAAGCTTAAAATAATTATGATTTGATATGATAAGTGACATAAAGAAAATGCTAATGTATGGGTTTTTGGAAACACTATTCTAGTCTGTTTGTTGATGACAGCTTCCATTTACTGGAGTCATAGCAATGATTTTCTCCTGTTTGTATTATCAACCTCTGAATTAGTGACTGAAATATTTATAATTCACTTTAGTATTTCTCATTTTGTAGATCAAGATAATCTAATGTATGAAAAAACCATCTGATACTCTGGCTTTATTAAATGCTCTGCTAAATTAATCATGTATCTCCTGTTAAATTGACTATGTTATTTTTGTCATAAGACTACAGTTTTTAATATTATTTAATTTCCAAAATGTAATTTTTACTACTAAACTTGAAAAACGCAGGTAGTTTCATGTTTCTTGTTTGCCTGCTAGTTAAAGCATTATTAAATCCTCATAAACAAACTAAGCCAAGTTAACATTAAAAAAGTAGAGAAGTCAGGCATTTAAAAAAAATAGAATGCTTTATCATCTATTAATAAGTACAATTGCTTTGGTTACTAAGTTTTTGCCTGAAATTTAATCATCATATACAGACAATTCTGAAAATCATATACCACAGAATTTAATGCTTATTCAAATATTATTTAATTTGCATATTTTCAGAACGCAGACTCTTAATATGTTCAATAAAATCATAAGAATTTGAGAAGAGTAGAGATTAAATTGTAAACTGAAACTTATTAGTATAAGTTGGTTTTGTATTTTAAAATGCCTGGATGTCTGTAATTTTTAAATAAGGTAAATTTAAGTTATCTCTGAAGGTGTTAGAGTCACCCATTCTGTAACCATTTTCTGTTTCTTATGTCATAAAATCATAGAGTGAAAACACTGCTGTACACACAGAATTAAGATGCATTTTTCTTAATTTATTAACGTGAACAAAGTTCTGTATAACCATCCTAAATCTAGGTCATTGGTATTTTCAAAGGTAGTTGAGGTATAATTGTTATTATACTTTATAAAGTATGTTTGTGTAACACAACTGTTTTTCACAACTGTTTAACCTTCTGACTGCTCATGAGTCTGGCCAAACTTTTAGGTACTTTTTTAATTGCAGGATAATTATTCATCTAACATAAAGATAGGATATATTGTTCTGATGACAATTGATTTCCAAGTTTACATCTTACAAATAATTTTCTCTTCAATAAAAATGTGTATCTTTCATTGATTTTGTTTGTTTGGGTTTTTTTGTATTTTTCATTGTTGTTTGTTAAATTATTTATAGGAAAAAGTAATATGGCATGCAAATTGTTTGTCTTAATTTTTTTATTTCATAGATTTAAATTTAGAGCCACAAATGTTATGGGACAATTTACTGATTCTGATTATTCTGATCCTGTTAAGACTTTAGGTAAGATACATTCTGTAATTTAATTTCATTGACAATCTTAACATGCTAATCACAGTTGTAACATTCAATAGTAAATATATTAATCCATGACTAAATGTTCTCAAGTATAAATTCATTTCAAGGTTAATTATCCTGACAAAGGAAAACATAGTATTTGTGCTATTCTTTTAAGTGATGGATGTTCCATCTATTCAAATCTGGGCATAGATTTCAATATGGTATTAGTTCTATGCTGATGTGTACTAACATTATACTAAGCAAATATTTACTTGGCAGCTTAATATATAATCTTATATACAAAGCATTTTTACCTAATAAAAAAGAAAAACGTTTATGGAAACTTTCCTGAAATAATCTTACAAACTAGGTACCTTCCTGTGTTTTAAATTTTATTTTCAAAAAAATAAATAAATGAAAAATAAATAAATAAATTCTATTTTCTTTCTAAATCAGGTCTTTCATGAGTTTTTCCAGTTATACCCACCCAGTCAGGCCTGAATAAAACATAGGTACAATTTAGTCAAATGCAAGTGTTCTCCTCCTCCTCCTCCTCCTCCTCCTCCTCCTCCTCTTCCTCCATCCTCACCATCATCATCTTTTGGGCTCTTTGTATGTACTAATAATGGACTCTTCACAACTATCTTAAAAATTTTATCAGTAGTTCTCAACCAGAGTGATTTTACTCTCCAGGGAATATGTGGCAAGGTCTGTAGCAATTTTTGGTTGTCACAATTATGGAGACAAGCTACTGGTATAGTGGGCAGAGGCCAGGGAGGCTGCTGAACATCCTATATTGCGTGGGACAGTCCTTTCAGCAAAGAATTATTTAGTGCATAATGTCAATAGTGCTGAGATTGAGAACAACTGTCAGGTGCTATTAGTTCCATTTTATAGATGAGGAAACCAAGGCCCAGATTAAGTAATTAAGTGGCTCAACTAGTATTCTAGCACAGATTCACAGATTCCATAACCATTACAGTACAAATACAGAATTTAGGCCTGGATTCAAAACTTGACTCTACCACTTGAGAAAAATAATGTCCATAAACCTCAGTTTTCCTGTTTCGAAAATGGTCATGATAGTGTCCACTTTGAAAGATTTAAATAAAGTAGCATATGTAAAGATACTAATATTTTATAGTTAGTAAAATTTTAAATGCTTAACAGCTCCTGTTAGGCTATAATAGGCTGTATAGGATATATAATAGGATAGGCTATAATCAAAGATCTTAGAAATATACTTTTTCAGGAGAAATTACTTCCCTAGGATTTCTCTAAGTGTGCAGCTTCCAATTTTCTCTGTATAAAGCTCTGAGAATGTGGACCTTTGTGCACCGCTCAGATCCACAGTATCATGTGATCTGCACAGTGAGAGCTGTGGCTGGAAGCAGATTTTTCCATTATTCTCATTTAGAAATGTTCATCTGGTTGTGGAAGATTAATTGTCGAAAAAGTCAGCTTCTGCAACCTCTGTGTAGTTAAGGAAATTTTCAATGTCAAAGAAATAAAAGGGACACATGGTTTGCTACATAGATGTTTATAGAGGAATAACTACTATCTTATCCCCTGAAATCAATGATTTAATTAATTAATTTTACCCAGTGATTCAGTCATTTTAAAATTGGCTGACTAGACTTGTGGTTTTGAAATTGGGTGAAGTATTTCTTCATTGATAGGTGAGTTTATCACACCCTGATACCACCACAGTGAAATAAATGTCTTGGCGGCATCAACATATGTCCTCTACGTTACGGCATTTGAGAACTATTACCATAGCAAAATGGCGACCCTGGTGTGTTTAGTAATAGAAGATAAAAGACATAGAGTGGATAGCTCACGTATCTTAGGGACATGACATTCTGTAGGAGCCGTGCTAAAGATGTTGCCTTGCTGTGTGGTTTGTTGTGTGCTATGTCTCTCATAGATTGCTGGTTTCATATTGATGTGAGGATACGTTCAGTCAGTTATCTGAGTGACAGAGTTACAATGTCCAGGGTAATAGGAATGAAAAGGGGGGGGAAGACAAGCATCAGAAACCATGATGTGCAGGGATGTGATTCCTCGCATTCTGCCAAATGGCTTCCTTCTGGCCAAGGATGGGCCTCAGCTAATACTTTGGCTGCAAGTAGTCCCAAGGTGTCTTCAGTGATGCTCTTCTTTTTCTTCCTTTTTCTCACATCCAGTTCAGTGGAATAAAATAATTAATTCTAGAGGGTAGCAGAAGTACACCATCAGTTCTCTGCTACTTTCTTTGAAATTGTGACTATCCCCACCCCAGTCATCCAAGTGCTAATGTTTGTGTGCCCTGCTAACCGCAAGAATCTAAAGGGGTTGTAAGATGTGGAACAGAGGGCAGAGCATAAAATCTGGTCAAGGTTAGGGAAGGAAGCACTGGTGAAACATAGACTTGATGTATAAGGTAGCAAGCCATTGGGTTGATAAGGGGTAGTTACAAGGAAAGGTCCTATATATCTGTGATCTCATTTTTTAGAGTTCATGTACTACTTATAGACCAGTGACATAAGGGCAGCCCTTCAGGATCCCCCTTAGAGTTTCTTCCATGGATTCCCTTCTGATAAACAGTGGCTTTGTGTTAGGCTTTTGCCCTATAATGCTTATTATGGATTGACCACATGGAGTTTTGCTATCTAGACAGTCTTTTATAGTCAGTAAAACCATGATAGGCAGGAGTGGAGAGAATGATTAGGAGTGCCACCCTGAGTTGCGGTGAAATAAGATGTGCAGATTTGGAGAATGGAGTATACCTTTGGAGCAGGATTCTTCAATGTCTAGAAAAGCGGCCCAGTCATCTGACTGGTTAATGGATTTATTACTATCAATTTCTGTCCTCACATTTTACCTGACTATTGGATATTATGGTTCAGTGACTATCGGATTCAGCCTTATGGGTCGGACAACAAAGAATACCCTCCAGAAATAGTCCTGGTCCATGACCTGACCTTAATAAAAGGCCATTGAGTCGTTAAGAGCTTTGGGGCGGGGGGAGCCTTGCCAAGGAATATATAGTAGAAGGACACAAGAAGGAAATAAACTACATTGGTCAATGACAAGAATGGTTTCGTGGCTGTGAGAATGGGAGCAAGCAAATAGTAAAATGCACTGATATAATAGCCTGTTGTCATTAGAAGATTACAACAGATGTTCAAGTCCCTGTTTATCTCAAATATGTCTTGTATTGGGTTGGATGATATCAGTTGCAACAGGCGAGGGGCTCCTGACATTCCTAAGAAGCCTACTGAGGACTTATGTGTATATGTGATTTCTGATTTTGGTGAAAGAAGTGAAGATCCCATCTGGGTCATCAAATAACCAGTGGATATACATTCATTCGCTGGTATTTAGCATAGCACAGGCAGTGAGCTCCAAGCTAAGTTGCCTGTCAGTAAAATCTTCAGATTTAAGAGCTTTAGTAAGGCCGACTTTTCAAGTAAGTAGAGAGTATACGTTTCCATGACAGACCATTTTGGTAGTGGCTATGCCTCTTATTTGAAAGTTAAAATCAGGGGCAACAGAATCACCATAGACTAATGAACTAAAAGGTTTAAGTTTATTGAACAGTTAACAAAAGCAAAAGTGAGGAGCCCAATAGGGCTTTGCTGAATAAAGATGAGTGTGTGGAAGAGGAGTTTGCACTTAGGGAAATCTTTATGGCCTATAGGAATAAACAGAGGAAATGACATGTGCCATTATTTTAATCCTAAAGAAATACCTACAACTTATTTGATTTTGTTTTCATTCAGAATTGAGTATTAGCATTTTTATTAACAAAACTCGTAAGAATCCTTCTTAAACTCTTTTTAAAAATCCTCTTTAGGCACATCAGTTTATGGAAACTGCTCGTAGGCAATGTTTTGATTACAAGGTTTAATTATAGAGGATTCCTGTGATTTGAAAACCAGACACTGCTTTCTGCACCTTACAGGGCTTCATTAAAGCTGAACAAGATGAAACCTTAAACCCCATGGCAGAGGCACTCTGTGATTGTTTTCTTTTGTCATAACACTTCTCATTTAATTACTAGGCTAACAATGAGAAGTTCCAATCTGCTGCTCACTTAGAAACAGAAATAGGGAGACACTATGTATTTTTTTGCAGCAGAAAGGATCACTTGCCCCCAAGACACCAGAGGAATGAGGAGTTTCATGATGTTAACGAGGCAGTGGTAATGTGGTGCTGAACCTCATAAACTTTGCGGTCAGACAGGCATATTTCAGGCACTGTGGACAGATACTGACTTTAGGGGACCTTGGGCTCGTGACTTTAACAAATTAATTTCTGAAAACTTATTTCCAAATTGAAAATAATAATACCTACCTCGTAAACTAACTGGACGATTAACTCAGATGAATGAAAGCTGAATGAATATGAAATATTTATTAATAAGGATAATCATTTATGTGCCAAGGCTTTGATGAGTATTTTTATATATAACCCCACATATTCTTCACAACACTATTAACACGATCTCCTATTTATAGATATTCTCAATTTATTGGTTCGAAATCTACAGCTGGGTTTGTAAGCAACTTGTCCGAGGTTACAGAGCTAGGACATGGCAGCACCAGTTTGTTTTTTTTTTTTTTACTTATTTTTTCTCTTTAGCACCAGTTTTTAGACCCAGGCAGCCCGAGTCAAGTCAGTGCTGTGCGAGAAACTGCTGTACGCATGGCCTGGAAATCGCTGTGTCCAACTCAGTTGCAATTGCATTGCTCTTGGTGATTTTTCTGCTTCCAAAGACTTTCCTATCTTTGATGTGCCATTTTCTCTTCACAACATTTTTAATTACTTCCAGCTATTTTCTTGCCACCTTCTACCACCTTCTCCTCTCAGCCCTTTTGAGATTAGCATTCAGTAAAGTAAAGCATTAGTATGCTTTACTAATGCACATAAAGATACAAAAATCCCTTTTTGTTTTTTAAACAATGAGTAAATGTGATTTTTCTTTACACCCTGGAAACCACCGTTTATTATCTACTTCTAATATTTTGCCAAGTTGATGCTTGAAAATAATATGTTTAGGGTATTTTATTTTATTCATTTATTTTTAAAGATTTTTTAAATTGATTAGAAAGAGAGAGAGAATACAAGTGGTGGGGGTAGGAGGAGGGGGCATAGGGAGAAGGAGAAGCAGGTTCCCCACTGAACAGAGAGCCCAACTTGGGGCTCAACCCCAGGACCCAGGATCATGACTTGAGCCAAAGGCAGGTGTTTAACTGAGCCACCCAGGTGCCCATAGGGTATGTTTATTTATATTTCTTCAATTATGAAACTGAGTGACTTTTCATAAATTCTTTATGCAGTACTTGAAAATCTGGGATGAATAGTGCTGTCCAAAAGAGAAGGTCCTTATACTTAAGTTCGGTAGTAACAATTTGTTTTCTTTTAAGATTGATAATAATATTAGGAGATCTTTCACATGACATACATCTCTATCAGGAGTCAGATATGTCCTATGAGGTTTATAACTCATTTAATTCAGCTTCTCCATAGTTATAAAGCTGGTTTAAATCAGGTCTATTAGCTGAGCTGAAATAATAATAATTTCAATCAAAAAACACTTAGGAAAAATGAGTGCTTTATAATTATGTTTGCTTAATTACAGCAGTGCATTTTATTATGCAAATAAAACAAAATTTAATGTGACCTTTCTTAGAACCTTAAGTCTAGTCAGGAAATGACTTGTGCTTATTACGGAGAGAATCATATTTCTATTTTCAAGTGAAAGAATTCCAATTCCTATGGAAGGATTTGGAGAAGTGACTTCATTTTGGACAGTAATGCTCCATGGGTATATGCATAGCAGTGAATCAGAATTTGTACTCGACAGTCAGGGTACACTCTGTCCTTTCCTACTAGTACATTTGTAATACGTGTGCCCAAAGGATTACATACTGTTTATTAATACATTATATGTCATTTCCGCACTTCACTTGGCCAGTGCTTTGAAAGGGTAATCTAATCTGAAACATTTTTTTGTGGTCTATGAAATCATTTTTTTCCACTAGGTTCTAAGGTCCAGTGATTCAGTGTTACCTGATAAAGAGGATTCTTTATTCATCTTCATGTATATCCTTTCCCCTGCATATTCAATTAGAGTCAGCTTGTGAAAATTCATAAAACAAGCCTTTCACATGTAAAAAAGGGATATCTAAGATACTGTGTGAGCTACATGTTGCTTTACAGCCTCCTAAACCTAGCTGGAAATTCTAGATGACCATGAAACTCATTCGAATCTACCATGCAAAATAGCCACAGGAACCCTTTCCCCTTGTTAACATTTCATAAGCACCAATCCAGGGAAAAAAGATGAAACACTAATTCTTGCATGTTATACAGGTAGTTAACCTATTTTATCTTGTCACTTAACGTTAATGATTTTAATAGTAAAATTACAAAGTATAACTCATATAACTTAAAAATGGTTACAATTATAATTAATAGTTGTTTCTAAGTAAATGGTAAATAACTTGTATATTCTTATTTCAGTGCTTGATCTTAACATGAAAATTTTTAGTATCTGTTTCAAAACCAATATTTATATTCATTCTGAAGTTTAGCAAATACTTATTGAGCATTTGTTATGTATCTGGTATTATTCTCAGAACTGAGAATGCAGTTTTGAATAAAACAAAGACTCCTGTCCTCAGGGAACTTTACATTCTGGACAGACAATGGACATTGAGGATCATAAATAAATGTATTAGAAGATATGTTAAAGTGTGATAAGAACAATGGAGAAAATAAAAAGTAGGATGGAGTGCAGAGGATATAGAAGGGGGAAGGCAGAAATGAGGAAGTTGGAACTTTCAATTTTAAATAGGATGATGCCTTAGTCCGCTTACGCTACTGTAAGAAAATACCGTAGGCTGCCTGGCTTAAACAACAGAAATTTTTCTCACAGTTCTGGATGCTAGAAGTCTAAGAACCAGGTTCCAGTCAGTTTGTTATGTGGTGAGGGTTCTCTCCCTGGCTAGCAGAAGACCTCCTTCTTGCTGTATTCTCAGAGGGCCTTTCCTCAGCCCATGTGCAGAGGGAGAGAGCTAGCTTTCGTTGTCTCTTGTTATGAGAACCCAAAGTCTATTGGATTAGGGCCCAAATATAATGTTAGTGTACCTCCTTACTCCAAATACAGTCACACTGAGAGGTTAGAGCTTCAACATAAGAATTTCGGAGGGACACATACATTCAGTCCATTCAGGCCTCATTGAGGAGATGATATCTGAGCCTACTCTTGAAGGCTATGAAGTAGCTACTCAGACAGACACAAGGGAAATACTTTCCAAGCACAAGAAGAAGCTGGTGAAAAAGCCCTATGAGCTGGTATGTTCCAAGAACAACAACGCCAGTCTGGCTCCAGCGAAGTAAGAAAGGTGGAGATTGCAGGGGAAGTTGGAGAGGTTTGCATATTCACAGTTAACATTTTCTGCAAGGATACTTTGCAAGTGTTGCTGCCTAGATCAAAATACTTCTCATCAGGAGGCATATAATATCTGGTTGTCACATTTCAATGATGTTAAAATTGATAAGTGAGTTTAGTTGCATGACAGCATGACCCTTCATTGGAAAGTAGGGTTTTTTGCCCCCTTGTTATAACCAGCAAATAATCTGTAGGATGACAGTTTAGTGTCCTGCTAATATCCAATTCTCTACAACCATTCTCCTAATCATTAAGGATGAGCTTATGATTGTCCCTTAAATCACTTATTAGGAGTGAAAAACTAATTTCTATTTGTGTTATTCCTTCCATACTGCAAATGGAACTCTCCTCCATAAAGAGCTGTGCCTTAACTAGGACTATTTTTGACTATTTTTTTAATTAATGAAATACAGTTCTTATGAGAAAGCTGGGAAAAATGTTTAATTTTTTCCCTATAATTACAGATTTTTAAAATAAGGAAATGACAGTCTGGCTATAGCCGGTGTTTACAAATTATAAGTTTGTATATTTTTTATTTTTCTTTCAGTGAATAATATTAGAACTTGTGGATTTATATATTGAATCTATTTCCATCAATTTCAGTTTATATTCATCATAAAATTTGAATTGTTCCCTCTTTGATCAGTAGGAACTTCTGATTTTCTTTCCATACCATTAGCCTTTGATAGCTTTTTTTCTTTTTTAAGATTTTATTTATTCATTTGAGACAGAGAGATGAGAGAGAGAGAGAGAGAGGTTGAGAGAGAGAGAGAATGAGCTGGGGGCAAGGCAGAGGGAGAGAGAGAAGCAAGCTCCCTGCTGAGCCAGGAGCTCCATGTGGGGGGCTCAATCCCAGGACCCAGAGATCATGACCTGAGCAGAAGGCAGATGCTTAACCATCTCAGCCACCCAGGCACCCCCTTTGATAGCTTCTTAACTCTCTGCCTACACCAGACGTCCCAAATTCCTTTTGTTTTCTAATCACAGGTGGGAATTACCATCTCTCCAAGTTTCCCTAGTTTCTTTCAATGAAAAATGTATGTATCTTGAAGATAGAGGCAACAAGATTTCCTAGGAGATTGTGAATGTGTTCTATAAGAGAAAGAGTCAAATAAGACTGCAGAGTTTTTGGACTGAGCAACTAGATCAATGAAGTTGCCATCAACTAAGAGGTAGAAAGATGCAGTGGAAAAGAAGGTATTATAGGAGTTCAGCTTTGGATATTGATTTTGAAATTTTAATTACAATTCTAAATAGATCTATAGCAATCAAGTGGATACTCGTGTCTAGAGTTCAGTAGATAGAAGTTAAGCAGTCATCATCCTATAGATGGAAATTAAAACCATGGGCCGGCATGGGCTCATGAAGGTGGTCAGTGTAGATAGAAAAAAGAAGAGGTCCAAGGGCTGAGCCTCAGATTTAGAAGATCTAGGAGAAGGGGAACAAACATATTTGTACTCTTTATTAACATTCTTGAGAAATATTCCAAGAAAATATTGGGTTTTGATACCCAAATAATATTTCATAATAATAATTAATACTAATGTTCTACTTCCTCTTCAGGTGAAGGACTTTCTGAAAGAAGTGTAGAAATTATTCTTTCTGTCACTTTGTGTATCCTGTCAATCATTCTTCTTGGAACAGCTATTTTTGCATTTGCAAGGTAAGATTTATTTGTACTCACATTCCTAAGATGCTTTATGGACATTATTCAGTTCTTGTCTGATCAGGAGACAGAAGCCAAAGCAGTTATATGAATGGAGAATATTTAATAAAAAAATATTCTAACTAGTATAAATAGTTAATTACTATAAGGGACAAAAGAACACTAAAGGGTCCAGAAGTAGCAAATACAATAAAACAGCTGCTGTCTCAAGACTGAAGAAGAATGGACAATAAAGGAACTAAAAACTAGAAGAAGTTTCACTCCAAAGTTTGACGTGGAATGTCTACTACAGGCATATGCAGCCTGTCACCTATCAGTGGGCAAAGAAAATGACAGAAGGGGCTGGAACTCTTCTGTAGAAGGTAACCATCATTAATGGAGGACAGGCAGGCTGCAACTGGTCCATAGAAACAGCCCATCTTGCTGAGTAGTGTTGGTGGGCTGAGTTACTAGAATCATTCACCAGTGGGGAGAGCCTAGGAGGCAGCTAGCACCCACCCAGGGGGGCTGCTGGGCCTCCACAATGAATAACAATCAGTCATGCAGCACTGGGACACACCAGGTAGGTATGTCCCTGTCTCTCTTGCCTCGAAGGTCACCGTGGTATCCTCTATTGACCAGGCTTAGTATCCCACCACCTGGCAAAGGGGAAGTATTATAGAGTCTAGCTCCAGTATCACAAAGCAGGGCCAAGATGGGCAGGTTTAAAATTAAGAGACAATAAAGTGATAATAAAAAAAGCAGAAGGTACCAGGATTTCTGCATTTTAAAAAATAATTTATAATTCGATAGGTTTCATGGAAAATATTTTAATTGGGTCTAAATCTTAAAGTTTACACAGAAGAGATCATTTTTACAGTAAGGACAACACTTCAAAGATGTCCAACTTCCTTACATGGTGAGCTCCTTTTTCCTCTTTACTTTACCAACTAGTCTACACTACATTTTCCAAGGGTCCCTTTAAATTCTCAGTATTAGCCTTTGAATTCCCTTGCTGTTTACAGGACCTCAGGGGAAATCTCAGTTGTGATCCTAAAATCTGGCTTCATAAAGTAGAGTTCTGAGTTAAAGAGTCCTTGCATTTGAAAAAAAAAAAAGTGACAGCTAATTTTCTAAGTAGCTCAACAGACCCTGTTTTTATTTTATCTGAAGACTGTTGTCCTGTATTCTGCATACCATGCGTCATCTCTTTCACCTTGAGTGTCTTAAATCCTCATTTTGATGGATAATTTGAAGAGCTCTTGAAACAAAAATATTTCTTATGCTGCATACTGTTCTCAGATTCAGCCAGGGATGGTGAGAGAAAGTCATTATTTGGCACTTTTAGAGATATATTGTGTAAGATATCTTCCTTGTCCCTAAGGGGCATGTTTTGGCCACATTTGTATTATTTCCTTGCTCTAAAATCTCTTCTGACTTTTCATTTCCTTACAGGATGAACTCCTTATGTGGGCAAGAAATGCTCCCCTCTTATGTCCTACAACTTCCCAACTTCTCTTTGGCCAAATGGGTCTCTTCTCACCTGAACATTCCTTAGGCTTTTATAGACCTCTGCTTTTCTACAATCAATCAGAAATGTGCCTCTTCTTCCTTCTCATTCTGGAACATTGAAATCAGATCTCTTTTTTTTTTAACTTCCTGTCAATACTAATACTTGTCCTATGACTTTTAAATTTGGATCTTTTTCTTTTATTGCTTTTCCTACTAATTTATTTATTTATTTATTTATTTATTTATTTATTTATTTATTTATGAGATTTTATTTATTTACTCATGAGAGACACAAAGAGAGAGAGAGGCAGAGACACAGGCAGAGGGAGAAGCAGGCTCCGTGCAGGGAGCCTGACACGGGACTCGATCCCAGGACTCCAGGATCATGCCCTGGGCCGAAAGCAGGTGCTCAAGCGCTGAGCCACCCAGGCGTCCTTGCTTTTTTCTACATTTAGATCTTGCTTCTCAACTAAACTGTAATGTTGTTGAGGATGGGAAACATATTTTATACTTCCTATTATTTTATACTTCCTATGATTTTATACCATCCTTAATACATAACTCATTAAGTAATAGATATTTGAAATGTAAAAGAGAGATAGACTAGCTAATGTCACTTTGTCCTATACCATATTATGTCCTAGAAAAATAAGCATGTAAAGGGCTTAAAATGAAAGGACTTTGATTTGGTTCTTAGATTCCTGTGACTTTTATTTTTGAAACTGAGTCTTCTGAAGTAAAGATAACATTATATGCTTCACAATATTTTTATAAAAAGCCAATGAGACTATTCAAAACGTATTTCTATACATTTTCATGAATGTAGAGCTGTTTCATGGATATAACAACAATGGAACATTGTCTTTTGGCACTGGTGCTGCTACCAATGAGCTGGTTCCACTTTGGCATGCTTTCTTTTTATGACAAATCTAGAGACAGCTAGAGGGCGGAAAAACAAGCTCACAGCATCAGTTTCATTTGCTCTATATTTTAAATTTGTCAATGGCCCAGGCCTTGATCAACTAATTCCCATTAAAATTTGAAGCTTCAACAAAGCAACATGTTAAAGGAATATAATAGAATAGGCTTCATGGAATTCAAACAAGAAAAAAGATGTGAGGAGCTATAAATTTGCACATATTCAGAGAAGTGACCCCAACGAAGAAATTATCAGACTGCTATCTTGACTTAAAAAGAAAATGAAACTTAATTCTATATGCTTTCTGTGATATTTCCATTTTGGACTTTACAACACTTATTTTAGAATTCGACAGAAGCAGAAAGAAGGTGGCACGTACTCTCCTCGAGATGCAGAAATTATTGACACTAAATTCAAGCTGGATCAGCTCATCACTGTGGCAGATCTGGAACTGAAGGACGAGAGATTAACGCGGTGAGCACACTCCTCTTGGCGAACAGTGGTTCAGAGGGCCTGGAGCCATGACCCTATTCTGACCTATGCTTGTTGGAAGTGTTTGTGGGGCTCCTATTTACACAGGTCATAGAGATCTTCTTTCAAAGGGTGACCTCCATCTTCTGCACACTTCTCACTGGTGTTCGGAGAATCACTTAATCTTCCTCATGCTTTGGGTTCAATATGAACCTCGGACTATAATGTTCAACCAAGCTTTTTTTTTTTTTCCTGAGACAAATATTTTTAAACATTAAACCTTTAAAATTATGTTTAATAATTCACTTTGGATGATAGATTTCTTTTTCACTGGATTTGCTGGAAGTGTCCATATTTTTCATCACAAGTTTAATTAAATTTGTAACTACTTGATCTATTTACATCATTTTTATGAAAGCCTTATAGCTCTTTGTTTTAGGATGAAATTACACTAAGAGTCTAACTTGTGTGTTAACACTTCATTTTTTAAATTGCTTAGTGTTTAAAAATTAAATACAAGGTAAAAATTACCTGTGGAAGGAAAAGTGTGTCTTCAGTATGTGTCAGAAATAGTAAAGGTGCTTAATTTTAAAGAGTATTTTAAATCCTTTTGAAATCATTATAAATATTTCAAAATGTTGGCACATCTGAAAAACTTGTCTATTAACAGAATTCATCAAATTCTTAATAAAAACTGTCATCAGGCCATCATAACTAGTTTAGATTCTTATAAGACCCAATGTTTTGTGGTGCTTATAAGCACATGACAGCTTTTACAAAGTACATGAAGAACTATGCTGGACTTTAAAAATTATTATTAACTCTGGAAATATGCCATTAAAGTTCCTGAACTTAAAAAGGAATTGTTCTTAGTTGTCATTTAGCAAAGCTGGTCTTTACCTAATAGATAGACTTTGAAAGAATATTTTTCAGCATATCTAAAAATATCTAATGTGTGTTTTGGAGGGAAGTGTCATCTGATGAGCAGGGGCCTTCCAAATACTGCAAAATGAAAGCTATTCAGTGTTATCACTAAATTAGAAGGACATTTACTTTCTTAAAGAGGAAAACTCACTTCTTTATATTGAGATATTCACCTTTGTTTATATTCTAGTAGGGGTGGTTTCTATGGATATAACAAAATGGATGGTGCTCCAAAGACCATATGTAAGACGGTTATATATTATCCAGGACATAGTTTTCCACACTAGAAAGGTTATGTATGAAAGACCAATAGATTTTCAGGGTAACCTGCCAAAGCTATGCCACATCGTAGGAGCAATACAGCATTCCAGTATTAGGCTGTGCCTCGGCCCTAAAACAGTCACCCTGCATAGTAAAAGGAAGTGTCTTCTCCTTTCCCCTGCGGGCCAACTGAATTTCTGCATTATTCTCTCAAATCCTGTCCTTAATTTGTGTTCCACTTCTACAGTCCTGGAGTCTCAGTGTCTTCTCACACCCAAAAGTATAAGGCGTAAAACATCAAACCTCTCAGTTCAATTAATTTTAGTTGTTTGAACAATTTAGTTGAATCCGTTCAGACTAAAATGTGAGCTTCTAAGTGTCCAAACACTTTTAGGGCACTTTTTAAAAAACCTTTAATGATCCCCTAAAAGTCCTTAATAAGTAGATCTTTAGGAAAGAGATAGGACATAATGAAGTGAAAAGAGCCATTCAGTATTAAAGCGTTCTTTATCGAGGAGGTTATCATTCTAGACAAGCTATGGGGAGGTTAGATCCCCTAAGCTCTGTGTGTTTTCACAGCTTGCCCTTTCCTGCACTTCTGAACACAGCCATTATCTAAAAGCTGGATGATTTTTGTTTTGTTTTGTTTTGTTTAACAATGACTGTCATGGCAGCTAATGGAAAAGGTGAATAAGGACTGCATAGATTGCTTATTATTGGTTTTTTATAAATCAGGGACTACCTTATTTAACCTTGACTCCTAATTATTTATTTTGCTGCTTCCATGTCTGTTTATGTATATGTGGATTTATTTGTAAAATGATATAGAAGCGTCTTTCAAATATATCTCAAATAGTGTTTATTTATTTTTGCCCATAGATCATTAGTATATATTACCCCAGTAATAGTATAGTTGGAAATTTTAGTTTCTATGCTTTTTTACTTTCTTATTTTTTGTTATGATTCCAGCATTCATGACTGTAAAACATTTTTATTTGTAATGCCAGTGGCACATAAGAGTATGTTTTGCTTGATGACTACAGAAATTTATTAAAATAACTATCAAGTGGTTTGAGTATTAGCTCTTCATTACAGACCTGCCTCCAGATTCACTATTAATGGAAGGTTTTTCATGTTAATAATGTCAGTACTACAGAAGACAATAAATCTAGAAAAATAGTAACTAATGGATCCATAGTCATGTGCACATTTACTGGGGACCACCCTTCAGTGACACTCTAAAGTCTTCACTTGACTTTAAGGTACTGGAAGATCTAAATCTACTGAAAGCCACATAGGTCATGAGAGGAGAGCCACAGACGCTGATAGTAGATTCTGAGAGTAAAAAATCAGGGAGTTTGAGGGGTTTCAAAATTATTGAATAACTTATGTCATATGTCTTTGTTATTTGCAGGAAGGTACGTAGGTAATTTCCTTCCAATCTACCCAGCTAACATATGCTCTTTCTACTTGAGGCTTAGGCAATGTTCCTTTCCTTCCAACTTGTCCACTTCCTTCATGCTAATTGGACTAACAGTGTTCCTCAGTGTCATATGTCTTGACCTATCCATAAGAGAAGTGATAAAAGACTATCTAATCAATAATTAAATATTAATTCTAGGAGATTATCTAGTTGACAAAAGTCATTATGATGCTTATACTAAATCCTGCTGAGACTTGGAGTTTTATAGTCGGAAATTATTTCTTTAGTGACAAGTACCTGTATATTGACGTACATGTTAAGATTCATCCTGTAATTTTTGTATGTGTAAACTCCCATTATTTAATTATATACTACCTTGTTTCACAAAGGATCTCAAGAATTCTCACATTGTACTTTTTCTTCCTGAAGGCGAATGAAACTCAAGTGAAGATTTAGTACCCTGGGAAAAAAAAAAAAGAAAAAGAAAAAAAGATTTCATACTCTGTAACTCCATGAAAACATTTAGGATAGGCCACGATAATGTTTTAAATTCCTATTTGGAATGATAACTAGATCATTTCCTTAATACATATCTTATATTTAAGTTTAGAGAATACAAGATATATTTTTTAGGAAGGGTATTTAATATTTTGGGCTCATCTCTTCCACATTCACCAGATTAGAAAATGACCTTTGTGGTTTGTTATTTGATAAAGAAATGAACAAAATGGCATTTTGCGACAGCTTCTTCAAAACACAGCCGCTTAGCCCAAGGAAGTGAGAAAGGTTTCTAGGAGGAAATATTGGCAAGAGCATGAACATTCAGGTAAAACAGACCTGTCTCTTCAAGATTGCAGAGACCAGCTGGCCCTATGGATTGCTTTAACTAATTTGACTGCAACACAAATGACCTTCCCCAGAGAGTTATAACACTTAAAATTAAATAAGCTATCAGAATGCTCACGAGTTAAATATTCTATTCGCTAAAAAATGTTTATTTTTCACTGTCTCCTTACTAGGCTTAATTTATAGTAGGCTTCCCTCCTCCCTCCCCCACCCATGGTGAGTAAATCAGAAAAAAAAACAAAAACAAAAACAGTAGAATAACATTAATCAATGTTACTAATCTTCTTACTTGACACTCAGTTTCTTCCAAGCCTGATTTTTCCCCTCAAATTTTGTGCATCATTCCATATTATCTTGCCTATTTTAGTTGAGTAAATGTAATGGTGCATTAATTAGACTCAAGGCCCAATCCAGTAATCATGAATGGAATTAAAATCCTCAACAAAATAAAGCAAACAAATGAATTGTTGTTTTAAGAGTATTTTCCTTTTTTCAGTAATTTTAGAAGTTCGCATATTGAATTTTTGTTAAATGTATGTATCTTCGGGAAGCTCTTGTAAACTCTAAAATCAGAATACATTTGGAATTATTATTGTTTTTTACAACCTTTTTTTTTTTTTTAAAAAAAAAGATCTATTTATTTATTTGACAGAGAGAGAGAGAGACAGAGCACAAGTAGGCAGGAGTGGCAGAGGGAAAAGGAGAAGCAGGCTCCCCGCTGAGCAGAGAGCCCAATGCAAGGCTAGATCCCTGGACACTGAGATCATGACCTGAGCTGAAGGCAGACACTTGACTGACTGAGCCACCCAGGCACCCCTGTTATTTCCAATCTTTATAAAATTAAAAATCACCCCAGTCTACTTTCACATAGAGAGCTTGCTAACCTGATAATTGCTACTATTTATATGCAACTACTATGTGTTAATTCTGTGTGTAGTGATCTCACTTAACTCTTTCAATCCTTTGTGGTAGATACTTTTATCCTCATTTACAGTTGAAAAACAAAAGATACTTAGAGAATTTAAGTTCAAGGTGGTACATCTAGTAAATAGAATAGTCACGATGCTCACCTCAGTGTGTTTGATTCGGAGGTAACAAGATTGATTCGAAGGTAACAAGATGTGCCTGCACCTGTGTGTGTGTGTGTGTGTGTAACTCTGAAGCATACTAGATGAGATCAACATAACCCCTATTAAAAAAAAAAATAAGGCCCCATGGGATCCTTCTGCAAGCAGTGTTTTCTATGCAGAGAATTGATTCTAAGGGAAGAATTGCTTTTTTTAAAATTATTTCTGCTTTAGTGATATGGGACAAAGGAGTGGTGGCATTATACTATAGGTTCAAGCTTGCAAACTGACCTTCAGTAAGAATACACAATATTTGACTAGTACATGAAATTCTATGTAAAACCATTAGCATTTTAATTGCCATCAATTATTTGACAGATTCTGGTCATTAATTCTACTTCTCTCATAAACTGTTTTGCAAATGACATCAAAAATACATGAATCCAGATAAGAAATGTCTGACAAATATGTGAACTTCAGACAAATGTCCTGAAGTAGGATGAAGCCCAAGATATTTAATGCTCATGTTCTTGTAGTAGCAAAAAATAATCCAGTGTGTTTGTGTACTAAATAAATAATGAATCTTTACTTCCAGATATTCTTCATTTTTCTTTAGACGCAAGGAGATTTTTGTCATCCAGTAAGTTACTGTGGTGATGCAGAGCTCTGTTGTGATTTCATCTTGTCAGGTGGTGTGCTCTATATTTTTAAATATACTATATTGAGCGTTTTGTTGTTTAACGTGCCTTTTTTTCCCCAAAGCCAAAAAAAAAAGCCCCATGCTTTCTACTTAAAATATGACCTCTATAATTTGCATGCTGTTGATATGGTAAAGTTAACCTTACCAAAATGCACATTGACTCATAATGTGCATGTCCTGAGAATTTGCTGTGTTCTCATGTTGTGTTAGCTTTGATAGTAAAATAAGTTTTCACCTAGATTTCGTCACGTGCATCTTGTCTCATTATACCCTGATACAAAGCTGAGTTCTCCATCTGACAGATGGAGTCCCAGTCCACACCTCACACATGCTCACTTCAACTACTGCAGGTGGTAACCTGTAAGGACCAAGATGAGGGAATTTCCTGTTCTGTGTCTCTGGGGCATACACAGTTCATAGTCTCTGCACTTGGCCCTAATCAATGGCTAGCTAACTGTGCATGTTTGCAGGCGCTCCGCTGATGCTCGGAAATGCCATTTATATGCTGGCACAAAAAATTGCTTTATATGTTCGGAAGGTAGTATAATAAAATGTCAGCATTACCAGGGACCGCAGCAACTGATTGAATGCCCCAGAGATAATCAGTTTCTTCAGGCAAAGAATATGAATGGAGGCAAAGAACAAAATGTATTTGATTTCAGAAATCCCAAATCTTTGATAGAGGAGTCAGTCTCCATGAGCCACAAGGCTGGATGGGGCCAAGGCTCCTGACATTCTCATTGATCACAAATAGTACTCAGCATGATTAAAACAGTGGAGGCCAGGACTACTCCTACTCTCATCATATTTAGCATTTTGGAATCATAAGTAACCTTGTTTTATACTTCATATGAACTAATTGCCAAAGTTTCCATTGACAGAATTAGAAAGGTTTTATAAAAATACATTTTCCTCAAAGGACCTGCTTGATCAGATTCAGTTGTCAATGTAAGACTCTGTTGAGCTAAAGCTTTAAGTGATCCCATCACACATAAAACATCCATTTCCAACCAGCACTCAAAGCTGACCTCTCAGCATTCCAGACTCACAAAGGGTCTGGTTGAGAAGCTCTGCCAAGTATCTTTCTTCGTCATCATTAAACAGAATTCTTTTACTTTTTTTTTTTTTTTTTGCTTTACGCCATTAATGCCTCAGAAAAAAATACTTCCATTTTTACTTCATATTTCTCCTTGAGCACCAAATTTTCTCTCTCAGAATTAGTCAGTTGTGTCCTACTTAGAGCTCTTACTTTGATAGAGCCCAACCTAATGATTCAGATTCATCAGAACCTTTGTAGAACACCTGTGCATAAATCCAATTTCTTAAAGTAGATGTATTCTCCTTCCAAATTTAATTTTCTGAGGATGCCTTCTAACCCCTAACTGAAGAACTTTAGTGTAAACCTGCCTCGCTAGCTAATAGTTCAGAGTCAAAGCACTACTTTATAGACGATGTCATGTCACCTGTGTCCTCTTCTTTACATTCTCACTGAGAGCCTGTGCCTATCTCTTCACACAGCCATCAGCAGTTTCTTCTTCATTTTCTCTTTCTACTTCTTCTGCCCTATTGCCCAAGATAGCTTAAGTTTGTGTCCCCAGTTGTAATTTAGAATATGTGGTTGACAAAATAAAACATCTGTCAAGAATTTGTTTTCAGTTGTGCTGATTTGGAGAGGCTTAGTAATGATGAAAATTCAACTCTTGCCACCTTGGGAGTCTTCTCTCAACAATTTGACATCAGCAAGAATGTTGCTTTTCCTTATCTGTCTAGAAGTATCAGTTGGGCACCTACCATGTGCCAACCACTGTTCTGAGCACTGGAAATAGCGTGATGAAAACAGAAAGGCCATTGCCTCCAAAGAGCTGCCCTTCAAATGGCTAAGCTCCTTTTAAATCTATTTGTCTTTACAGATGTGAGGAAATATACTGGGAAAATACTTAGCACTTACTAATTGTTTTTCTAATAAGAAAAATATTACAAAAAAAAGAAAAAAATATTACATTACTTACTTCTTGAGGTAGTATGTTTACCTTATAAAATGAAGTTTCAGTGTCAGCTGTACAGTACAGGTATTATGATAATATTGTCAGTTTAAGGTATAGAGCATCATGGTTTGGTTTACATATATTGTGAAATGATTACCACAGCAGGTTCAGCTAACAAACATTTTTTTTCATATAAATACAATAAAAAGGAAAGAAAACAGATAAGGAAAATGGAAAAAAAATGTTCTCCCTGATGAGAACTCTTAGGATCTATTCTCTGAACAATTTCAAATACACCGGATAGCAGTATTAGCCATAGTCATTGTGTTGTGCATTATATCACTAGGATTTATTTCCTTACTACTGGAGGTTTGTACCTTTTAACCACCTTCCTCCAATACCCCCTCCCTCTGCCCTCACCTCTGGTAACCACAAATCTGATTTCTTTCTCAATGAACTTGCTGTTTGTGTTTTAGATTCCACATGTAAGTGAGATCATACAATATTTGTCCTTTTCCGTTTGACTTATTTCACTTAGCATAATGCCTTAGGCCCATCCATGCTGTTGCAAATGGTACAATTTCCTCTTTTTATGCCCAAATAATATTCCTCTGTATATATATTAGCCATGACTTCTTTATCCATTCACCCACTGATGGGCACTTTGGTTGCTTCCATGTCTTGGCTGTTGTAAATAATGTTGCCATGAACATGGGGAGCAGATGTCTTTTTGAGTCAGTATTTTTCTTTCCTGTGGATATATTCCTAGAAGTAGACTTGCTGATCATACTTTGGCTCTGCTTTTAACTTTCTAAGGATTGTTTAACTTTTTTAATTTACATTAGGGAACAGGAAAATTATTGGTGATTTGATAAAAGAATGAAGAAAGACCAAAAAGAATGCTACTTTAAAGCCTAGCACAAATAAAATCAATAGAAAAGCACAAAACTAAAGACATCTTTGAAAGCATTACAGTAAATGCTGCAGATAAGTAATAGGATATCATTTTAGAAGTAGATGTAAATGTTGGAGCAATTAATGGCTTAATTGAAATACAGAAATTAAAACTTCACACTCCATATTTAATAAAACTTAGAAAGATTAATATGTTTTACCAGAACGATAGATTCTGGTACTCATATTCAAATTTTTATTTTATTTGTTAACGTGACAAATACATATTTTAAATCAATGCAATAGAATTTGAGACTCTTTTTTTTTAACCTAACTTAGGTAGAAAACACAAAGTTTCTCCGTTTGTCCTATGCCACTGGTAATGCTGATTTAAGCTGCTCATCTAGAGGCTATCATCCATGGCTCTCTATTTGGACTATATTTTAATTCCCTATAGATTTCAACTAATTGACCTTGGGAGAAAGCTGAATCTCTGTGACAATATGGTCTTCAATCACCACTGCCAACATAAATAAATGATTCCGCTCTGGATCTATCAAGAGTAATCTGAGTGGAATTTAAGTTTTTGATAGACTTTTAAAAAATGAGCCCAGACACGAAATAATACCCTTTTCAACAAAAGGGAATAGGATTTAAGACAGCTAAGATTCATGTAATAAAAAGTGTTTAGGCCTTTCTGTTGGAAAGTGGTCAGTTATCTTACTGAAATCTGGACAGTTCCCAAATTGATTTATATAATGATGAACTGAATTTGATTTGATAGCATCATTCACCATTGTAAGTGAATAAAATACCAGTATAAAATGCTCTTCACGTAACAATTTAAGTTTTTAAAAATGTTAATAAAAAGTTTTCTATTTGAGTTCCTTTGAGTGTCTTTACAGATCACTTCATTTGAACATAGCACCCCTGAAATAACGTTGTTGACTTTCATGCACGTTAATTTCTGGGAGGGTATTTTTTTTTATGCTTATCTAACCAACAGTTTTTCCTAAAATAATTTAATTTCCTCATCAGCAAAAGCCAGTGCTTTTTTTTTTGTATTATACTCCACTTTCTTTTCTAATTCCCTCTATAAGCCATCCAAATTAATTTTTTTCTATTTAAAAATAAAACTTTAAAAGCCTATAATAACATTTAGAATGCAGCCAATTATTTTTTAGAGGTTTATTTCTTTATTTTAGAGATGGGAGAGGGGTAGAGGGAAAAAAAGAGAGAGACAATCTTAGGCAAACTCCCTAAGGCTCTAAGCCTGAGCACAGAGCCTGACGTGGACCTGAATCTCAGGACCCTAAAAGATCACGATGTGAGCCGAAATCAAGAGTTGGGTGCTTAACCAACTGAGCCACCCAGGCACCCCAAAATACAGCCAATTTTTAAAGTTAAAAGTTAAAAATACACCCATACAATATGAGGCTATGTATCAAAGCAGTGATATGGATACTATAGACAACAAAAAAAACTTCTATTTTTAATAGTTGTTTCTCACATTATGTAAATACAAATGCAATGAATAGGTTACCTAAAGTGATTGGGTTTAGATAAAGAGAGTGATACAAAAGAAATAAAGCGCAACAGCTCTTATTCTTTTTTTGAAGTCTTTTTATTACTGGATAGGAAAGATGATTTTATCGTTCAAATGTCTAGTTTCCTAAGAAGTATCTAGCATGAACTTCTAATGTTAGGGGATCTAATATGGCTTTGTTTAGACTTATGTAGTGTTTATTGATGCAGCTATTGATCATACTTATCTAAAGCTCCTGAGAAGTCTCAATTGCTTACTATTTTAGTGGAAAATTCATTCATTTCAGATACTTGAATAATAAGCACAGCACATATATTTAGCTTGCTGTGTATGTTGGTCGGAATACATCCACAATTGTATATTTAATAATGACTAATTCATTGTCAACTATGAATAAAGTTATGAGGGTCATGTAGTGAGTCAGTGCTAATCCTGCCCCTGCCTTCAAGTACCCATGAACCTCAACGCAAGTGTCCTTAATCCATGTGCTTATATGGCCATAATACAAGGTGGAAAGTGATTTGTCCATAGAAATTTCATTTCATAGAAGGAAGAAATTATCTTCTCTATAATAGAACAGGTAAGGTCAATGGAAGAGTTAATATTCGAATCAGCTATTGAGGAATCAGTAGGATGGTTGTGAGGAAATACCTAGAGCGGTACAAACGGGATATCTAGAATAAAAACAGGATATGTGAAAGGTAGTTGTAAGGAATTATGTTAAACATGCTGGTGTGATGAGAAATGCTTTCACATAATAATATGAAAACTGAATCATTACGATCTTTATGTTATTAGTGATTTATTTAGAGTCTTGAACTGAGAACTAGAAAGCCAGATTTGGATTTGAAATCTGGGTATTTATGACCACTTTTTTTTTTGAGACCCTGATTGAGAAGAATAAAATAGGAAATTGGGGCACCTGGGTGGCTCAGTAGTTGAGCATCTGCCTTTCACTCAGGTCATGATCCCTGGGTCCCGGGATCAAGTCTCACAGCAGGCTCTCCTCAGGGAGCCTGCTTCTCCCTCTGCCTATGTCTCTGCCTCTCTCTGTGTGTCTCCCATGAATAAATAAATAAAATCTTTTTTATAAAAAAAGGAAATCTTGCTGCTTAATTTAGCACATTTTAGTCTACCCACTTTTGAGTAAATTAAATAGAATATTCTTTTAGCAACAAGCAAAAACCTTCCTTTATATCAGTGTAAATAGTGGGACAGATGGTTAAGAGGAGCTTGAGTTTTGCAAAATAAAGTAGAAATAGCAATTACAATACTAATGATATTAACTAATATTTATGTATCGCTTCCAAAGCCAAGGGCATTTCTAAGCATTATACATATATGAACTTAGCTTTACATAAACTTACCCTATTTTCCAAATTAAGAACCGAGGCACAGAAAGATTGAGTAACTTGGTCAAAGTAATGTAGCTAGTAAATGTTGGAACAGATATTTGAAGCCATAATATTTTTAGTAAGGAAAGAATTCACAAATACCCACCTGGATCCAATAGCTAGCCAGTTACAGTTACTAATATTTGTATAGTTTACAGATACTAATTTCTTTAGAGAGATCTTTCAAATGCAAGATAATAGTTTTAAAAAAGCAACTTTCTGTAATGTTTTTCACTGTAAAACTGACAAAAGGAAGTATTTTTATTAGTTATAGTTTCTAAATGAGACTAGACATCATGAATGAGAAGAGGAAGGATGTGAATAATAAATAACAAGGATGCTTTAGCTATTTCTTGTGCATTTATATTTTAATATGACTATTTATATTTAGTATCTTTTGAGGATTTGATGAACATACTCTGATTCTGCAAATGCCTTGATGGCTTCCCAGAAGCTAGCCCTACTTTAGATTCTACATAGCCTAGTAAAAATATCCTGCCAATACCACCTCAAATAATCCTGGATTCTCTGAGAAAAGAGAGACTCTCCCCACTATATGATGACAGTCTGACTGTCCTTAAATACGTGGACCATGACCCTATCATTAAATCAGACATAGTGTGGTTGAATTTCACTAATCACAAATTGAATAATCCCTGTTGTTATGAAAGTGGTATCTTTGCACCTCAAGAATTTCCATTTCTGTGTGGTAGCAGGGAAGTTGATCTTGCTAATTCAAATATTTCCTTCATATTTCTGTTTTAAGCTCAGTTAACTAGGATTTGCCCAACCTAACTCCCTTGCCTTTCCTGTTTCTGAGGAACATCATATCATAAGAGCACTGGGCATCACGCATCTAAGGGCACTTGGGTAGTATGGGTCTAGTCCACTATTATATTTTTTTCTTGCTGGTCTTTGCCAAAGCAAAATCATTTCCAACAGGGATTGACTGTCCCTACTTTCTGTTGCTATGTCAGAAGTATTTCCAGGGCCTCTAATTCAGACACTATCTTCCTATTGCAAACCCCAAAGCAAGGATTTTTCTGATTCAGTAACCCATTAAATCATCCCCATATCCATTTAGTTAAAAATTTCTCTGTTGCCTTCTCAGAATCACTCTAGGTGAAATGTGGGAAGCTTACAAGTTCATCTACAAAGACTTTGCTCAAACACTGCTATTTTACCACTGTGATGCCACGTTTGATAATGGGATGCTGTATGAGGTTATGCCCAGAGAAGCTGGGAGATACCTCCTTCTCCTTGGATACAGCCTATCCCATTAACCAAGAATTCTATCATTCTTCTTGGTAGTACTTGCTCCTGCACCCCCATATTTTTCGTTAACCTTTATATTGTAATAGAATGAACTTTTTGACTCATGCTTTCTTCATTGAACACATACCTTATTGACCATTTTCATAGCATTCATTGTGACACATTTTTCAATCTAATTGTTTTCTTTCATTTGTTCTGTGTCAGAAATCACATCCTCTTGTAAACATTATTCACTTAAGGAATGCAGTAAAATCATCCCCGATAATATTTAAAATTTTGAAGAAGTTATGTTTTATTCATTTTATTTCATTATACCTTGTGCCTTTTGTGGTTTTGCAGTGCTAATTGATTGTGCATGACAAATGTGCTATTAAAGATGTTCCCTTCCCTGAATTTGTGCATTACATAGTCTATTTAGCTGTTAAAAATTATTTCATTGTTTTCCAGAGTATGAATAACTTGACCAATGAACTGTCACAGGAGATATGTCTAAAGTAACTGAAAGAACTGTGATTTTTTATGGTTATATACTCATCAAAACTCACTCATGAAATACAACGTAGGCAATATGATGTCATTTTTCAAAGATCCACTCTCCCTGGTTAAGCATTCTCTATTGACAAAATATTTTTAAAAATTCACTTTAACTCTCTTAGACTCTAAATACTATGCAATATATACTTAAAAGTGACCTGTTTTTAACATACCACCCCAAATGCCTAACAGTATTAAAAGAGTGTCTTAGCTTGAAAAGGAAACTAAGTTATTATTTGGTCATATTTAAGTCCAAATAATATAACTTAGGAAAATAAAATAGAACTTAAAATAATGATTGCCTATCAGGTAAAGACATAGCACATCATACTTTACTGATTTATTATATTTATCTGACTTTAATCTAGAACTCTTTGAGAAAGAGCCATGCCCTCAACTTATCATGCATTTAACACAATCTCTGTTGCAGGTTACTTAGTTATAGAAAATCCATCAAGTAAGTTTGTTAAATATCTTTTCTTCTTTTTGAATATCAATGCTAGGTTCACAGATTCAATGAATCTTAATGTGTGGTTCCTTTTTTGTATGTTTGCTAGAAAAACCTCCAAGCTGGATATAAATCATAAAAGCATGACTAATTGCATGGTAACTGGAGAAATGCTTTCTCTCTCTCTGGGGTGAAGCTTGCATGTCTGTATTTTAGCTTGGGAAGTAATACGGGGATATTTAAACTCCTTAGGGTTTAAAAACCATGTCATTATGAGAATGAGGTCACTGCAATATTTTATATCTTCTAAAACCTTGTAATGTATAAAATGTTTTCTGTATGACAAAGAGGTATTATGTGCTTTAGGATCCAATGATAACTTTATGCCCTTATATTTACTTGAAAAACTTTTTTCCTTACAATGTTAAATCATTCATATAAAGTCACTGAAAAATTGAAAGAATTTTGTGCCACGGATACAAAGAAAGCACACTTACAGGGGAAAGCTAATTTTGTAAATATGACAGAGTGACTTGAAAAGGTTGTGTGGCTATGGGTTTTGAAGTGTCTGTTGTTCTTTGATTTGTTAACTGTACAGCCAGTGCCAATCTAACACGATTCCATTTTATACCTATACCTCTCTTTGCTTGGAGGCCGGTAAGCAAGAAATCCTTCCTGCAACATGTTGAAGAGCTTTGCACAAACAACAACCTAAAGTTTCAAGAAGAATTTTCGGTATGTTACTAGCAGTTGTCACAACATTGCCAGACCTCCAGTCGTTTCATGTGTCACATTTCATGTCCATTTTAAGCATGCAAGGCCTTGGAGGACTCTGGCCTTGATAATCAATACCCAATTACCAGGTTGATTGTTTGGATAGTAATGTTACACTGGGTGGCCTCTGGTGCAACCTGAACAGAATTATTCACCTACTGTGTGAAGAAAAGGTGCTCTTCTTCAGACCTCCCCAGCCTGAGGCAGCCTGGCCTCTTTTCTTCTCTGCTGTCTCATCCAGATGTAGACGGGTGTCTGGAAGGTTGTAGTCATTGGTTTTTGCTGGCATGCGAGATTTAGGCTTTATCATAAATGTGGTTTTTATATTTAAATAATTATTTTAGATTAAGACTAAATGATTCCATTTTTTATTTGTCTGCATAGTTTATGTTAGTGACATACATGAACCTGAGAACAGAACGTGGTGTTTCCAAAAAATAACTGTGTTTTATGAGGCCTATTGTTAAGTTACTATGAAATAAACATTATCACATTATGGAGAATATGTGACATTAAGAACATTCCACTTTAACATTATTTAAAAGTAAGATTAATTATATTGCCATAAGCATTTTGTATAACTATGCATCAGGTATATATCAGATCTACAAATCAGCTTTTTAAAAACTACATCTACATCAGCTTTTTAAAAACTACATCTTTCCAAACTTATATGATTATTTTGTGTTATATAAGTAAATGGATTTCTAAATGTCACCAAAAATTTTATTTCTTTTTTTCATGAAATTTTTAGTGTGTGAACCTATGAAACAAAGAATTAAGCAATTGGCTTGAATAATTCAGGATTATAATATTTCAGCCTCTCAGGGAATAATAACAAAATGTGAGAAGATTAATGGTATTTCCTACAGCTCTTTGGTTATGCTTCTTAAGTAATATCGGCCTGGATTTAACAAAATCGATGGTACCATAAAACTTTTCTTAGCATTTACACAGCGAGAACTCGCAATTTTTCAGGAGCAAAAGTGTAATTTCACTAGAATAGGAGCGAACATAATTACATTATGCATGACTGAGTAGATGAAAAGTTTTATTAGCAATAACGTTTTCATGTATATTACACTGAGAAAGTTTCTAGTACAACTTTTTTGGAGATCATGGTTTTAACAACTTGTTTTTTTTTAATATAAATACATAACCCTATGTATGTAAGGAACTTTTTAAAATACATATCTATGTATATAAGGAACTTTTTAAAAATTATTTTTTATCCTGATGCTGTATTAAGTTTTTTAAAGTGAATTATATTTTAATAAATAAATGCATATTTGATAAACTTTAGAACTCAGACCATACCCACTTATGCCTTAAATATGTGTAAGGTCCTACTGTATGGTAGGCATTGTGTTTGAAGTATTGATATATATCAATTGAACACTTAATAGCTAAGTGACTTTGGACAAATCACATAAACCGTCTGTTCCTCAATATCCTTATTTGTAAAATAATAGTATTTATCTCACTCGGTTGTGAATACTAAAATGATTGAATGTGTGTAACACTAAGAAGGGTGGCTGACACAAGTATTAGCTATTATGATGGTGACTTCTACCTTAAATAAGCTCATACTATGAGAAGAACTGCAGACGTGCACAAAAAAAAATACATAAAACGCTGTATCATGACAGAGATACACAGAAAGAAGTGAGGATTGACTTTATTTCGATAGCAGTCAGAAAAGACTCAACAAAGAGATGGCCTTTGAGATGAACTTTTGGACAAGCAGAAGACCAATGGGTAGATAAAGGGGGAGGAATATGCCAGAAAGAGAGAAGGAAGACAAAAGCCTAAGGATGCAAAACAGCTTAACTCATCTATGATCCCACTGAAGAGAACAAGCAGTAGGAGAAAGAGCTGGATGGGATGGTGGAGGCCCTGTGTTCCCTGATAAGACAAAGGCTGCCAAGTGTAACATTACTATCCAAACAGTCAACCTGGTAATTGGGTATTGATTATCAAGGTCACAGTCATTTAAATCTATAAATGGAAACTTCTATGTGAAATAATTACAGAAAAAAAGTACCACCTCTCAGGAGATTTCCATTTCACCTTTGTTTCCCCTTCTATTCCTTTGTCTCTTATGAATATGCTGACATATATTCCCAACACCTTGACACAGGAAAACTGTTTTAGGATTCTCTACTTGGTTAAACAAATTCTTAGCCTTTTGTGCTAATACACCAGATTTCAGATGCTTACACTCTTTCTCTCTGCTAACACATAGCCACATGCAAAAGACTGTCTGGGTTTTCTTTTTGAGGGAAAATAAGGGATAAAGGGACACAGATACAGATAAAAAAATTTATAATAGTGGCAAAAATTGTAAAAGCACAAAATTTTCATACTTTTTAAGGGATTTGGCAAGTTGAGACTTATTTCTAAAGTGAAAATCTATAAACTTTGTAAATATAAATCACCAGCTCCAAAAAATAATGAACACATTTTCTTGCACCAGCTTTCTTAATGATGAATGGATAATATCATGATTTTTTACCAAAATCTCAAAAATGGATCTCCTTGACTCTTCATCTGTGTCTGATAATTCTTAATCGCACCTTTGCATTCCAGTATCGATTTAACAATGCCTACTGAGAACAGGAATTGACCTTTGGCATCTTCTTAAACTGACCAATGTTGTACCAATTAGCAGGCATGAAATCACACTGCCTGAGGAGAAAAAACAAAAAATAAATCACCGAACTCCCTTTCCCTACTAAGTAGACATTAAAATATTAAATAATACTCAGCATGTTCCTGATGCAACCATTAGTAAAGTATGGAAAAGGGTTACTACTAACATGCTTGCCACATCTTAAGAGCTTCCAAAAGTACAAAGAAATTATCCCAGAGAAAGTGAGAGCCCAACTGACCCAATTTTTTTCAGGATATTTTCAGTAGACGTTTATGTAAATTAATTGCTATTAATTTGATTTGTTTCTGCAGTTATGAGAGGGGTTTTCAATTTAAAAGCAAAAGAGTTTAGGATAAAGAATAGTTTTTTTCCTAAGTAGAATTTCTCATTTACCTCTGAAATAAATCTAAACTTTGCAATGACTTCATTCCACAGGAACTACCAAAATTCCTTCAGGATCTTTCTTCAACTGATGCCGATCTGCCTTGGAACAGAGCAAAAAACCGCTTTCCAAACATAAAACCATGTATGTGCCTTTATTGCCTCTGCTCTCTACCTGCAAAATGTTTTAAAATGAGCACCAACTGTATCTTGGCCTTTGTATTTCTTAAGCCTATTATATTACTATTAATTGAATTACAGAAGGCATTTTATTAGCAGTAATTTTCAAATTGTATCTCTTTTTGCTCTGTTAGTATTTATTAAAGTTGATGTACATGACTTTTAGCTTGTTGGTACAAGGTTTACTTGTGCAGGTGCAAGAAACTGTAGACCTAATAGTTTCTTAGCTTTGTAATTTAACCCATGTAACAAACCTCTCTAACATCTTCCTACAGATCTAGTTCTCAGATGAAAAGAGAAACATGTAACTTTGTGTATTCATTTCCCTTAAAAGCAGACCAGTGTTTTCTTATGGAACATAAAAAAAATGCATTGCCAAATATTCATTGAAGATCAAAGTAAATGTGTGCTTATGAGGATTGGTTTTACAAAGGAAGTAGGGTTGTGCCTCCCCATAGTAAACAAAACTTCATTTTTCAATCAATAAGAAAAGAAACCATATTATCACTTTAAGAATTAGCAGTGATGTAAAAGGAAAAATAGAACATTGCTCTGTTGATAATAACTGTATGTTTGATATTACATTTTTTGGACAGATGGACCTACTATCTATATTCTAATTCAATACACTTCATACTATGAAATAAAAAAGTGCTATTTGTGATATTCTGAAATATTGTTAATATTGTCTCAAAATCTAGAATTTTAAAATATTCCTAATTTTAAAATATTTTTCAAAACCATACTAGGAAAATTCCTTATTTAAGAATTGAACTGTTCTATCTAGAAAGACATGGACTTGAAGAAGGATAAAATCATAAAGTGTAAAATCATAAAGGATGTGGATAGGAGGACGTGGACCATTTCTGATATTCTAGAAATCAAGCATAACTGAGGCATGAAGTAAACAAATTTAGGGAAATGTGATAGAGGAAGTAGTAATCTAGTGGAATCTGCTAATTCCCAAGAATTAGGATAGGATGAAAATGCAAATAGCTTTAATCACCCAAAATCCTTTCTGGAACAAAGCAAATTGTAAATAAATGACTTTAGGGGGAAGTTGACAAATCAGACACTATTGTAGGAAACAAGGAATGTTAGTATCGAGTCTCTAAATTTCTATGGCTTGATGTTTCTCAACAGGTCCTTTTGTTTTCCTTTTCAGATAATTAACCTGGGTTGGATGCATCATAAGTTTAAGAAATATGGAAATTCTCATGTTTTTATATTTGTCTCTACCTAAAATTTTTTCTGTACTAGCTGCTTCATGCTTATTCAATGCTCTTCTTGAATGTAAACATTGTAATCTGATTGAAAGACAGTTACCATGGAATATTTAATATTTATTTATAATCACATATTTGGCTGAAGTAATTTATAATATATCAGTATATATAAAATAAGCAAACCAAATGTAGCTAACTTATTTCCAAAGACCAAAGAGTGTCCAATTTAAAATAAAAAATTGAGATGTTCGCTAGATTTTTTTTTTTTAAGATTTTAGGAGAAAGACAGTGTGTGTGAGCCAGAAGAGGGACAGAGGGAGAGTGAGGGAGAGAATCTCAAGCAGAACCCACCCCCATCCCCACCCCATCCAGCTGATCACAGTGCCTGACATGGACTCAATGTCAAGACCCCGAGACCATGACCTGAGCCAGAATCAAAAGTGAGATACCAATTGACTGAGCCACCCAGGTGCCCTAGCAAGATATTTTTTAAATGTGATATTTGAGTCTTTTATTATTAAGATCCCAGTGTATTATTATCTGGATTCACATCATGGCTATAAGAAAAGTCAGACCACATAGCTTATTACTTAGAAGACAAGAAGAGAGTAAGTGTGGTCAATGAAAATAAATAGACAACCTTAAAGCAACAAGAAGCTGAAAAGTATAATTGCCCAGTTTCATCAAATCTGAGGCTAAGGCAAAAAATAATTGCTAACAATGGAATTATGTTGTAAATCAAGGATATTTGGGATATTATAATTAGAATTTCATGGATTTTTCACCTTTGTTAGAGTCTAAAGGATGGCATCAAATTGTTTTTTTTTTTTTTTGCTTTTTTCTTGATTTCAGTACAGAAAACATAATTTTTCAAATAATGGATTACATCTACATTCAATATCCTTTAATGGATTTGTAGGGGAAAACTTTTTCTTAGCTATCCTTTCAGAGAGTTGGAGGTCCATTAAGAAATAATTTTGTTAGGTAGATTTCTCTATTTTTCAAGAATGTGATTAGAATAATTTAACTCAACTGATATGTACTGCCTGCTGTATAGTAAAAATGCTAAGAAAGTATAGGCTCTAATCAAAATTCCTTGGCTATAGTCCTGTGTACCTACTAACTGCCTTAGTGACTGTACATATTGTTCAGTGGTGCCCGCCTCATAAGGTTATTGTGAGGGTTGGATGAAATAATTATATAAATCACTGTGCCCAGTACTGGAACATGGAAAACTCTCCATGTTAATTCTTATGATTGTTAGTAATAAATAGATTGCTTACTTTTAAAAGCTGTTAACTTTCTGGGTGAATAAGATTTAATAACAGGCCCTTAGTGTCTATACTCTGGACATAATAAGTCCGCTTCCCCAATGTGGGTTAGAAGGCGACCTATAAACTCACAGCCATCTCTGAGCCAGTACACCCCTGCCACACACACAGTACAAGCAAATGAGATGTTTAAACTAAATATATTCACCCACTGTGCTTGCAGAGAAGCCATTAAGCTGAAGAAACATTTTTTTTCTCCCATAGAGAATGAATTCATTTTAATAGACTCTGAATTTTAGCTTGAGACAGCTTAGTGAAGTGCATTGTTTCCCCTGAGTAATGTAGGAAGTAGGATTTCAAATATCACAGTGCATTTTAGAAGATATTAGCTTACAGGGCTTTAAGATACTAGAATTAGCAGCAAATGTTTGCTGAAGGGATTTCCAAATCTCTGTTTGATAGGACACTATGACCTTCAGAAATGTTCCAACACCACAAAGAAAAGTGTAGCTTACTGTTGACTCAGATAGTTATAAGCGGTCATATAGAGTGAATAGAAACCTGATGGCTTCCCTTCCTAAGTCACAGGACTAGCCACAATGTCATTAAAATATTTAGATCAGGGGTACCTGGGTGGCTCAGTGGTTGAGCATCTGCCTTCAGCTCAGGTTGTGATCCTGGCTGGGATCCCGACTCGATCCTGGGGTGGGGTTCCACATCGGGCTCCCTGCTTGGAGCCTGCTTCTCCCCCTGCCTGTGCCTCTGCTTCTCTCTCTCTCTCTCTCTCTCTCCCCCCCGCCTCTGTCTCTCATGAATAAATAAAATCTTTAAAAAAACTGTTAGATCATACCAAATTGAGTCTTTGGGACATTAATAATTTGCATAAATTTGCTTAAACATTCCCCATCTCTAAACCTATTGGGCAGATCATTTTAATGACTAACAATACAGCAAAGTCATTTAACATGCAACATATGCTTAAATTGTAATCAGCTTTAAAAGTTCCATAAGCTTTCATGTAAGCTTTTCTCAAGAGGATTCTACAAAATAAATATTATAACTATATATTTTAAGTGAGATAATGAAAGAGCAGAGAAGGTAAGGAATTCACCCAAGGCCATTCATATGGTAGACAAATCTAGAATTCAAACCCAAGCCCATTTACCCATTTTTCCTCTACTACCAAGTGCTTCCACAATGAGCTTAAAAAGCACTTCAAAATAGTTATGTAGTAAGAGGTATTTTCTATCATTTCCATGCCTAGCTAAAATTAGCACTGGACATTCCAATTGAAATACCAACTGTAATACCAATTTGGTAAAAATCCTTGGGAAAAAAATAATTGAACCTCCTTTTTGAAGAAAAATAATGGTTAGGAGCATCTAGGTTTACCAGATCTGAAAATATTCTAGAGAGTAACAGTTAAAAGTTTGGTATTAAAGAAAAATTAGGCAGATAAATTAATAATTAATTAATAGTCCAGAAATAGAAATAGGCCTAGAAATGCATAGAGAAATCTGGTGTATAATAGGAGTGGTATTTTGGGAGTGAAGGGAGTGATGGAATGTTAACAAACTGGGACTGCTTGTTGTTACAAATGGCAACAAAGAAACAATAAAAGATGTATTTTACCTACTTCCATAAAAAATAATAAATCCCAATGGATCAAAGATGAAGAAGCTAAAACAAAAGCAGAAAAACCCATTAAAGTTCTAGAAGAAAACATGGATTTGTAAAAATAAAAATATTGGTGTGACAGACATCTTTGTATGAGTGACACAAGAAGCCATAATGATGCCATGAGAAAAAATAATTGGAATTTTGATTATTAAGAAATGTACATTTTATGTATGGCAAGATAGCTAGCTACACTGATGGATAGAGTCAAAAAATGACAAGAAAATTTCAAGACATCATATGTATTGAATATGTAACATACTTTTTGTATAAAAATTTTTTTTAAAATAGAAAAATAGTACAATATGAAAAGGCCATTAATGGAAGATGTATTTAAAATGACTAATACACAAACCAAGAAGCTCAGTTCAATTGCTTTCACATTTAAGGAAATAAAAATAAGTATTATGAGACATAACTTGTATCTGTCAAAATATCATGAATTAAAATGTTTAACAGTATCTTGTAGTAGGAAAAGAGGAAACAGAATTGTTCAAATACTTTTCAAACACTTTTGTTCAGAGTATAAATTGATAGAGAAAAATTTGACAATATCTTTCAAAATTTGAAATGCACAATAGGATTTGGGAATTTACTGCTGGTAATATATTCTACAAACACACTACAACAGATATGCAAAAAGTTTGGTTATATTTATTCAGCATCTTACAATAAAACAAAATGAGATCAATTTAAATCATCAAGAGTTCAATTAGTATGTTATATTCAAACAATAAAATACTCTATGACTGTTTAAAATAATGAGCTAGACATTTTTGTTTATAAATTTTTTATGATATGGAAAGATATAAGCAAATAAAAAATGCAGAAAAGAGTATATATTACCCCATTTGTGGTTAATTTTCATGAATATGTATAGCAGATTCTGGAAATACATACAAAAATATATTAATAGTCATTTTCTCTGGGTATTGGAAATACGAGATAAGAGGGAACTTCGGTTTTACAACCATCTGTAGTGTTTGATGTCACATCATTAATTTCTTTGTATTACTTTTGTAGTAAGAAAAAAAAGTAGTAGCAACTTAAATAATGAATTAGCATCAATTTCTTATATTTCCTTCTAGATAATAACAACAGAGTGAAGCTGATAGCTGATGCTAGCATTCCAGGATCAGATTATATCAATGCCAGCTATGTTTCTGTAAGTTGCTATTTGTTTATGTTGGTTTTTTTTCAGTTTTTTTTATGATTTTTATGTTTTGTTTCTTATAAAACAATTGCAATGTTGCAATTTACCAACAATCATTTCACTAATAAGTAACAGATATATAACTTCAAGCTAAATATCCCCAGGCCTTTCCACTATTTAATGTTTGTCAGTGTATTCTTTGTACACACGAGGTCTGTCAATCTCTATTACAAAAAAAAAAGTCAGTTAGTTATGTCCATACAATATAAAAATTTTATGTTCTTCTTGCCATCTAGATTTTCAGTCCTTCAAGGCGACTATGATGTCATGTTCTTTTATCCTCAGCTGCTTGTAGAAAATGCACTGCATTGTAGCTGCTCAAAAAACATAAATGAACCAATGTGAGTTGAATTGTGACATAGCTATTGTACTCTCTGGCACATTATAGATAATAAATCTTTGGTGCATTGGATTAAAAATTGAGTGAAATCCAGGTATTTTAGGAATCTCTCTCTCTCTCCTTCATCTTCCCTATGGCTCTTTGACCCTCTCAGTGCCCATCACTATCACAGGTACATAGAAACTTTAAATGCACCCGAGACTTCTACTCGGGGTGACACAATCATGGAATTGCATTTGTGGTTATTTGATTGAACCATTCACCTTAGAACTGTTTCTGAAAATATCCTGATAATTAGATGCTAGCTTCTTTTGGCATTGATTCACTACTTCCTCCTAAGGCAGATGATTCTATCGCTGAATAATTCCAATATACAGCTGTTTAAAAAAAAAAGAGGAAAAAAGAAAAAGATATGCTTTCTTATATTTCCACCCACTGGCTTCAATTCTAACATACAGCATAGTTAGCCATCCTTATCAGGGTGTCTGTACAGACACTTCAGGGTTTCCTCTAGTGCCTACAGTCTTTATTCTTTTGTTATTCACAGGTCACCACTCCCAGTCCTGCCATTTGGTCCCTGTAGGACTCTGCTTATAGGATGCTCCATCCTTTCTCCATGAACTTAACTTGTTCTGTGTCCCATTCACTTGAAGCCCCTGTTAAGGGGAAGATTTCATTCTAAATTCTATGTTGGTTGATAATGACTCCAAAATTGCAATCATATATTGGGTCCTATTGTGAAAGGAAGACGTAATGGGAGAATTTAAGATTTCTTGCTAGGGGAAATGAGGGAGGACTTGGAGAAGTTAAAGCATCCTTTGAATTCCAGCCTATTTTTATGCAATAACTTTAAATTCATTTTGAAAAACCACACACTTTTTCTATTGTGGTGACATCTGTTAGTCACTTATCAAATGATTGATTCCCTTGAAAATGTATTCTTTTATAAAGATTTTGGTGAAATCTTGGGCTTACTAATTTTCATCACAGCCTAAATTCTATAGCATGTTGAAGTTTTACTTTGATTTACAGAATGATACATATATGCATTTCAATTTAATCAATGTGCTAATGATCATATGTTTTGTGATATTATAGAACAGGGCAAGGGCAAATGGTTTTATAAGTGGTCTATTGATTTGTACCATTTTTATTCACTAATAAGCATGTACGAAAGAATAATTCACCTTCTCTAATGTTCAGCCAGAGATGGGATGACAGTACACAGGATATGAGTATGATTAGAAAGGAAACTGACAGTTTTAGTCGGTGTAACTAAACCACACAGATTTACATAAACAGGAATATTCATGAACACTCAGTAACCCCTCTAAATATTATAGGTTGTCAGGAAACAGCCATAAGAAGATGATAATGCAGGGTGAGCAATAAACTAAGAATTCTGAATATATCCTGCTATAATCAAGTGATGTTGTAATATAGTAAATCTTACAACAAAGTCACTATGACCCATATGTAATGATATGCACAATCAGTACTGAGCTGCATGGTAAGAGGCCCAGATGGAAAGCCCTCTACGTTAAGGGAGATTTCAGAATTGGAGTGGAAGTATATTATTGCTCTCAGCTTTTAGGTAAATCTCCTTTGCTTGGAATGCCAATGCTTGGTCTTCTGTTATCTCCTCCACCACCAAACACTTGAATTATCTAGAGCCCAATCTTTGAATTTACTGTTTTGTTCCAAATTAATTTCTTTTGATAATTTCATCCATTTTTGTGTTTTAACTGAAGCCTATGTGATGATTACTTTCAAATGTATGTCTCCAGTTTGCATCTCTTCCTGGATTCCAAACTTATATACCCAATTGACTTTATGATATTCCCACTTGAATATTTAACAAGGATTTCAAGTTTAATATGTACATAATGGATTCCTAATTTTCCCTTCAAATCTGTATATCCCAAAGTTTTCCCCATCTTCTTTTGAAGTTTTTATTGATTCTTCTATTTCTCTTATACCCAATATCCAATCCATCTGTAAATTCTCTTGACTCTGTCCTTAACATATATCCAGATTTTACTACTCCTCACCATCCCCCAGCTATCATTGCAATAACCTTCTAGCTATTTCCCTCCTTTCACCTTTTAACCCCAATAGGCTGGTCTTAGAGAAACCAGAGCAAAGCTGTTAAACCATACACTCCCTTTGCTCAAAACCTTTCAACAGCTTTGGTAAAAACAAAAGTCTTGTAATTACCTGCCAGGACCTAATGCACCCTTATCCTTCCTCCTTTCTTCTTTCTTATGTCATCTTCTAGAACTGTCCCCCCCTCATTTACTCCACTGTAGCCATATGGTGTTCACAGAAAATTCTAGACACACTTTTCCTTTAATGTTGTTACACTTGACTTTCTGTCTGGAACGCTGTCCCCCAAATCCTGCAGAGCTTACTCCTTTGTTTCTTCAGGTCTTTTCTAAGAGATCAGATCACCGGTGAGTCTTTTCTGAACATCCTATTTTCTGAAAACCCTCTCTCATAGAACTTACCACTTTTAAAAGTTCTATGTAATTTGCTTATTTCACAGACTTATTAATGGATTTAGTAGCTACCTCCCCCGCTAGAATATAAAATAAATGAGAATTGGAATTTTCGAGTCTTTTGTCAGTGATGAATCCCCATTTCCTAGGACAGCCTGGCACACAGTAGGAACTCATAAATATTATTTCAATGAAGGAATGTACATATTTTAATACTGCAAATAAATCCACCAAAATATAAATGGTACTTCATTCTGGATAGTGGGATTGTGATTGAATTCCACATTCTATTATATATTTTACAACTAGTATATTGTTATGTATTGCTCAAAAACTAAAAAGAAAAATACTGCATATATAGATGTTGATTTAATGTTGTAATTATATCCTTTAGGGATACTTATGTCCAAATGAATTTATTGCCACTCAAGGTCCATTACCAGGAACAGTTGGGGATTTTTGGAGAATGGTATGGGAAACCAGAGCGAAAACATTAGTAATGCTAACACAGTGTTTTGAAAAAGGACGGGTAAGTTATTTGAAAATCTTTTCACAAGATGTTATTTTGCAATTGCTTTAATATATGTGTGACAATTTCAGCCAATACTGTGAGTCATCAATAACTTGGACATCTATAAGGCAGTTTTAATTTTGTAGCCATAACTGTTATATATATATCAACGTAACAGTAGTTCTTACGACTGGTGATTTTCCCTGAATACAGATCAGATGCCATCAGTATTGGCCAGAGGACAACAAGCCAGTTACCGTCTTTGGAGATATAGTGATTACAAAGCTAATGGAGGATGTTCAAATAGATTGGACCATCAGGGATCTGAAAATTGAAAGGGTAAAAAAAAAAAAAAAGACAAGGGGGGGAACATAGTAGTAAATATGAATGCTCTAAATATCTAAAAGTAAAATTAATTTCTAGAATTGTCCCTTGCAACAACACCTCTATATTGAACAGTACTTTCCTATTATTTTCTAAATAGAAGTTTCTGTTGGTAGCTGACTGCAACATCTATGTCACTGTGTTTAATTCCAAATCTCGTGGTTAAAGTTTATATTAACCACTTAGCATCAAATTCTTAGGTGGACAAGGGAAAAAAAGAAGAAAACAACTAGAGCATTAGGTTTTTCCTTGATGAAGAAACTGTAATATTTAACTTGAAACAGGAATTTCCCTAGTCAGTCATCTCTTTCTTCATCTACATAATTTGATTTTCTATTTAACCCAGAACGAGTACAGAAGATGCAGTATGAGATTCCACTTTATCAGTTTGTATCAAAGCCTACACACACAGAAAATGATACAAGGATCTTTTTTGCTTTCTGGCATTATCAGACACTCAATACCTGTGTTCTGAATAATAGGTGAATGTGCTTATTTAATTTTGGATCAAAATTATTTTAAAATCTACTATACTGTGCTACCAAATATTGCTCTATGTTTAAATATAAACATTCTATATTATCATATGTTTGCAAGTTTTTTTTTTATTATTTCCAGTCATTCCAAAAGGTAATTTGCTTTATAGTAGCAATAGTAGAAGATCTGTCTTGCAGAAAATCATGAAAGACAGAGTTTCTTCCGTTTGGTAAATAGTCGTTTTTAAAAGATCACCTTCAAAATGTAGGACATCAGCTACCGTAAACCTTCACTGTGGTACTTTAATAACGATATCATGCTTCTTTAATCTGTCACATTACGTAGCATGGAGATTGCATGACTGTTCGACAGTGTAACTTTACTGCTTGGCCTGAGCATGGGGTCCCTGAAAACAGTGCCCCTCTGGTTCACTTTGTAAAACTGGTTCGAGCAAGCAGAGCCCATGACACCACACCTATGATTGTTCACTGCAGGTAAGGAAGAGATTTTCAGAACCTTAAATGAAATTAAAAATGATCTTAAAAGCCAATGTAAAAGCCTTTTTATTATCATGATACCGTTGATTATTTTCTGGCGGAATGTTAATGTTGCTTCATTCTAATTTCCAGTTTTTGGATGTTTTACTGGTTAAAATGTACCAAACTATAGCTTTATTAAAGTTTAGATGGCAAAAATAAAATGAATAGGGAAGGTATCTAAAAGCGAGCAATCAAAAAAAAAAAAAGAAAAGAAAAGAAAAGTGAGCAATCTTACTGGTAAGGGACTTTTCCCAAACTCTTTTTTTTAATAATAAATTTAATTTTTATTGGTGTTCAATTTGCCAACATACAGAATAACACCCAGTGCTCATCCCGTCAAGTGCCCCCTTCAGTGCCCATCACCCATTCACCTCCACCCCCACCCTCCTCCCCTTCCACCACCCCTTGACTGGATTATGCCTTTCAAAGGAAAGTCTTTAATTTTTTTTTAATTGTAGCCCCCCATTGATGTATGTGTGTGTCTGTGTGTTGGATTTAAAGATTTTTACAAATAAACATCTGATCCTTTATTATATCAATTGGTATTAGTCTACAACCATAATTAAAAATCTTTTCTTAAAAGCAGATTTTTAGATTTGAGTTGTAAAGAATAAAAGAAAATGAAATTTAAAATAAAGACCAAATTAAGTGACCAACCCGAGTGTGACAATAATTTTTTACAAACTTTAGTTACTTACATGTCTTCCTTTGACTAGCTCTTTGAACATGGTTAAGGGAATATAACTATAAATTGAAGTTTTTCTCTGCTTTATTTTCATTGGTATTTAATACTCTAAGAATAAAACTCAAGGTTGTTTAGAATTCAGAATTTTTCTGGACAGATTGATTTGATTGTTTTCTAACATAATAAATCTAAGTAAGTCTCAACTTGAGTCTCTTCAACCATTGGTTTATAAATTAGAGAAAAAGTAGGTTATGATACACTATTTTTGTGAACCTGAGTGGCTCAGCCATTTAAGCATCTGCTTTTGTCTCAGGTCATGATCTCAGGGTCCTGGTATTGAGCCCGACATCCGGCCCCTGGCTCTTCTGGGGGCCTGCTTCTCCCTCTCCCTCTGCTGCTCCCCTTGCTTGTGCTCATGCTCCCTCTATCAAATAAATTAAAAAATCTTTTTAAATAATACACTGTTTTATGATTTCACTTACATGAGATATCTAGAATAGATGAATTCATAGAGACAGAAAGTAGAATTGTGGTTCCCAAGTGACTCCAGGGAGAGCGAGAAGGACAATTATTATTTAATGGGTACATTATTTAATTAGTTGTTTAATGAGAATGTCTGTTTGGGATAATGAAAAAGTTCTGGAAATGGATGATGGTGACGATTGCACAATATTAAGAGTGTGCTTAACACCAACTGAGTTGTGTCCTTAAAAATGCTTAAAGTGGTAAATCTTATGTATTCTTTACTGCAATAAAAAATTTAAGAACAGTATCTTGGTCACATTAATAATTAATAAATCATTAATTTCAATAATTCTAATAATTTATACATTTTCTAATAGGTATCTACTAAAATTAATGTGGTTAAAGATGTAAAAAGATATTAATCCATCCAGATTTTTTACTTTTATTTAGAGGAAAAAATCACTATGGAATTTAAATTATTATATATTTCCCAGGAGTATTGTGAATTTTTTTTAAATTACAAGGGTAATACATAAATGCTTGCTCATTATAAAATATCTAAATAATGCCTAGATTTAAAAAGTATATAGAACAAAAAGTAAAAGCGTTATTTTTACCCTCCCAATTCCATTTCGCCTCCCCATATGTAACATTTTCAACAGAATAGTATATAGTGCAAATAGAGTAACAGTCTGTTTTTAAAGTCAATGATTGCTTTTAAGCTGGATCATTGATGATTAAAACCTTTAATAGACAGTAGCTGCCTTCAGCTTCTCTGTGTCTTGCACATACACTGCACTGCCACTAACGTCTGTTAGAAAAGTACCTAATATTACCCTTGTGGCCTCAAAAAGAGTAGAGAGCAGATAGTAAAGTGTAGTAAACATAGCGTCTTGTATAGACTTGTCAAATCACTCATTGTACACCTGAAACTAATGTCACATTGTGTATCAATTATACTTTAATCAAGAATAAAAAAGAGAGTCTCCTTCTTTGTGATTAAAATGGATAAAAGAGATCAGGAAAAAAGTATGCTCATATTAATAATTGTCTTTTACATTTAAAACCGTGTACTAAATTTTTATCTCTAACTCCAACTTCTCACCTCAACTTAGGCATACATTTCACTTCCAGTTCAATGTGACGACCTGAATGACCGTAAAACTCTTAAAATTTGATATGCCTAAAACAGAACACTGGATTCAATCTCCAAATTTCACTCCTCCTTCTCATCCCCCATCCTGGTAAATGGCAAATCCATTCTGTCTCCTGCCAAAACCCCGGAGTCCTCCTCCACTCTGCTCTTCCTTTCAGGGTCCACCTGCAGCCCTGCAGCAGATGCTCTGATGCCTCACTTGCCCCTCTCACTTCCCCACTGCACTCTCCCCACCCTGGGCTCCTTGCTCTTCCTCAAGCCCACAAAACCTGCTCCACTAAAATCTGTTCTCCCCCCACTCCCTCTGGCTGCGGTGCTCCTCTCCCAGACACCCACACTGTGTGCCTCCTTATGCAAGTTTCTTTCCAAATATTACATAATCAGAGACACCTTCTCCTTAACCTGATTTATCTTTCTTCATAGAACTTATTACCACCGGGCACATTCTATGCATGTTTGCTTATTTGTGTCCTGCCCTTCTCTGTCCTCTACAGGGTCAGCTCCATAAGTGCAGGGACTTTGTAGTATTGTTCAAAGCTGTACCCCAGATGCCTAGGACAGAGTCTGACACTCAAGATATATTGAATGATATAATGACAGATAACACTGTTCGGTATATGTGTATATGTGTTACCATCATCAAATTATGTTGTAATGCTCATTATTTCTTGTATGGTTGAATCATGGGATATTGCTAAGATTCGACTATTTCTTACTTACAAAACCGGCACTTCAGTGTTGTTCAAAGTGACATTTATAAGACTAGGTGACCTTCCAAATGTCTTTTGTTGTTCTTTTTCTATTTACTTCTTATGTTAACCATTCAAGTACCAAGAGTCTTGTCCTTCTGATGGGAATTTCTGCATAAATCTTACCAAGTTTAACAATTCAGTTTCTATGGAGCACGTACTTGTCCCTGGGTGTTAAACTAATTTCTTAAAAGGAAACCGCTTTTCAGTTTATTATCTATAGGAAGAAAAAAAAACCCTAATAAATGAAAGAGAAAAGAGCACATGAGAGATTGCCAATAAGATGCAGAGAATATGCTATAGGGCTAAACAATGGGCATTTTTAATGTTTAGCATTTCTATTGGTAACCAAAAATATGTTCAATACAAAGTTTCTTAACAAATTTCTAAAAAGATTTTATTTCTTTTTGTGAGACAGAGCAAGTGAGAGAGAGCACGAACAAGGGGAAGGGGCCGAGGGAGAGGGACAAGCGGACTCCCTGCTGAGCAGGGAGCAAGGCCACAGGGATCAGACCTTGAGCCAAAGGTTATGACACTTAACCAGCTGATCCACTCAGGTGCCCCAAGAATTTTCAACAATTTTTTAAAATTCTCTATACTTCTCCAGCTACACCCCTTATAATATTATGAAAAAGGAGGAAAAGTGGTTTAAAAAAAAACTCAAACATTTGATAGAGTGCCAAAATTAATCATCTTGATCTCTCTAGACACTGTTGATAACAGTACAAATCCAAAGACACTCCAAAACAAATTTTCCTCTAAAGAAGAAAAGGACTTGTGTAGAATTTATTACTACGGTAGTTCTCTTTCTTTATTGCTTGCTGTCAATTTGAACAACCTTTTGTTGAACAATGTTCATGTGGTTTTGCCCTTCCTGCAGTGCTGGAGTTGGAAGGACTGGAGTTTTTATTGCTCTGGATCACTTAACACAACATATAAATGATCACGATTTTGTGGATATATATGGATTGGTAGCTGAACTGAGAAGTGAGAGAATGTGCATGGTACAGAACCTGGTAAGATATCTAAAAGTGTGTGCAGCGTCAGTTCTGGAACTTCTCCAAGGGAGGATCTTAGTGGCAGCAGTCTGGTTGGGCTTGGACGTGAAACTTTATTTGCATAGCAGACACTGTTTTTCTACTTTATAAAGGGGTTTGAGAAGGGCAGGCCACGGGGCCCAGTCACCCCTCAGCACTGTTCCTGACTGCTCCTCCTAGCTTGTTTATACTGATAAGCATATAGAGAGGAATTTAAAAATTGATCTGTTTTTAGTATTTGGCAAATTTGGGAAGCTTCGTAAATGAGTCGAATCAAATTCTTTTATAAACATGCTAAATGTTATGTTTGGGAAAAGCTTAAAATATTGACCATTACGGGGTTCTGTGTATTTCCCTTGTCCATTTTTATTCCTATTGTATATTAATGCTAATAACAATTGTAATATCATCTAATCAACTAATTCCCTGGGAGTTTTTTATTTGGTTGTTTTGGTTTAGAGGCAAAAATATTTATAAAATATATAGATTTTTCTTCATTAAAAAAATCACAGGGATCCCTGGGTGGCTAAGCGGGCCTTTGGCCCCAGTTGTGATTCTGGAGTCCTGGGATCGAGACCCACATTGGGCTCCCTGCTTCTCCCTCTGCCTGTGTCTCTGCTTCTTTCTCTGTGTGTGTGTCTTTCATGAATAAATAAATAAAAATCTTTTTAAAAATCACGCAGTATAATGGTAACAAGACTAAAAACCTTATATGAATGTCTAGTGAGTTCCATATTCTATAATAATCCTTTAGATATATTATCTTATTTAACCCTCTATTTGTAAAGCAGTGCCAATAAAACTCATCAACAGACTAGTTTGCTTTGCTTTACAAATAGGAATGCAGAGGTTCCATTCAGAGAATTTAAGTAATATTTCAAGATTATACAATTAATATTTCAGGATCAAAATTCAAGCCCAAGTCTGTCTAACTATAATATATAAGATGTTTCTATCTGTATGTTTGGATTGGTATTTCTATATTCTTCAAATGGAAATTTTCTCACAGTAAGTATACAGATCAGCTGTAATAGTATTTTCCACAATACCTACTGGAAAACACATATAGCATCACAGTTGTTAAAATGTAAAAAAATAGGTTCTTTGCTAAAATAAGTTTGAAAAGAAGTTAAACTGATCTTAGAGTTTCTTAAATCCTCTGTACATTGACACAAATGCAGAGCCCTTGTGAACATCATTTCCCAAATTTATATGATTGTGAGATCCTCGAACCTCATTTGACCCCAGAACCTATAATGCCACATAGGGGGAACATTAATGTTCTTAGGAAAAAAGCTGCTCTAGACCAGACACATCTAGACTTTGTGGACTGCACGTCCCTTTCAGGAGGAATGTTTGAACATTCAACTCTAATAAATCTATATTTATTTTTAAATGTAAATTAAACAGTTATGTAAATTATAAAACATACACAAAATGAGAAATCAAAAAACATGAGATAAAGATCAAGTAAGCAATATTTTGAAATCTTGCTAATTGTGATGCCTTCATATCATCATTAAGATAATGATACTTGGGACGCCCGGGTGGCTCAGTGGTTAAGCATCTGCCTTCAGCCCAGGGCGTGATCCAGGAGTCCCGGGATCAAGTCCCACATTGGGCTCCCTGCATGGAGCCTCCTTCTCCCTCTGCCTGTGTCTCTGCCTCTCTCTCTCTCTTTCTCCATGTCTCTCATGAATAAATAAATAAATAAATCTTAAAAAAACAAGATAATGATACTTGACACAAGATAATTCTGTTTCAATAGTGATTTAAATATATATTCTAAATTATTTATAAGTGTCTAAAAAGTGATCTAGCTTTTTGTCAGATTTCATTACACTGTTTTTACCTCATAGAATGGCTATAAGTTTATTCTAGAAGCACAAAGAATGTCAGCCCTGCCATTTCCTTGTCATTCATTTGGGCTTCCTTGTCATTCATTTGGGCTTACATGATAAATATTACCTTCAATCCATAGTCTCTTTATTTATTTATTCATGAGAGACAGAGAGAGAGGCAGAGACCCAGACAGAGGAAGAAGCAGGCTCCACACTGGGAGCCTGTTTCAGGACTCGATCCCAGGACCCCGGGATCACGACCTGAGCCAACGGCAGACGCTCAACCACTGAACTACCCAAACATCCCTTCAGGAATCTTTTTTGAGCCACTTCAATTTTGTGATGGTTAGGCAAAACTAGGTAATGTTCATGTGCATTCCTTTGTATGCTGAAGGGGAACAAAGGAGTGAGGTATCACTCTTCTCTTGGAATACTTCAGAAATGGAATATAACTTGTGACCAGGGTTGACTTCCTGGGTGTGCAACCTGCGCAATCTCACAGGGTCCCGTACTCAAAAGGACCCTGCACTTGATTTAGTGTTTGCTGTCACTGTCTTGAAAATCTTTAATGATTTTTGAGGGAGGAAACTCTCATTCATTTTGAAGTAGACTCACAAATTAGGTAGCTTGTTCTCAATATAAGGGTTCCTATATCGATCCAACTATTAAATATTATTAAAACCCAAATTCTTTCTTGTTTTTGTTAACAACAGGAATAAACAGCGTGCTAATGTTTTCCTCCCATGTCCCTAGATTACTCCTGTGCACAGGTGCCCAATATTCTTGACATTGATCAAGATAGGTTGGCTCTTTTGGATAGGATAGAGGGTGGGACAGATTGGGATCTCATTTCTTTCTAGAAACTAGAGTCACTCTTCAGGTAATAAAAGTTGAAAATATTTTGCCATGCTCTACAACTTTGTGGAACTGAATGTTGTAAAGAGTGTGTCCAAGGATGCCTGTTAATAATCTCACACAATTTAGTAGGCAATATATGCTATAAAGTTCGTATATTATGCTTGTTTAACCAGCCTGAGTAGTATGTTGGGTACTAGGATGGGTAGTACCCAAGTACTACCAAGTACCAACCTTACCAAGTCGGGTAAAGGGATGGGAAGAGCATGAATTTTGAAGTCCGAGAATTGAGTTGTGATTTCAGCTCACTTAATTAGTTGCTGGCTCTGTGACTTGTTTAATTAGCCTCTTTGAGTTATTTCTCTTCTGTGAAATAGTCATGTTATATATCTCCAAGCTTACTGTCAGTATTAAATAAGAGAAAGTGTCTAAAGCCCCAAACATGCAGTCAGTGCCCAGGATGCAGTAAATATCTGAGATATCTGGCACTCAGAAGCTCTCCTTCACCTGACTTCACTTCCAGAAGTTTTGCTCTTTACCATCTTTCCTCTTTGATGATAAAAAGGGAAACGACCACAGTCCTTGGCTCCAACCCTTACAAACCAGTATGTCTTTGCACAAGAGTGGTTTCTTATTTTCCTCTGTTGCACTTGGGAGTGATTGCAATTTCTATGAAGAATCCTGCCTCAGCCCACACTACAGTGGCCCTGAGCAGGGCTGGGGAGGTGGGAACTCAGCCAATATATTCCCACCAGAAGGCTCCGGAAGGGCATGGCCCAGACCCAGGAGAGAGCTTTGAGCTCTTTCACTGTCTACCAAAAACCAATACATAGCAGCCCCAAGGACTTTCTGAGACAATGGTCCTCAGTGAGATACCATCCTGAGCTGCTGTCAGTACTTCAAACCAGGATTAATCTGGACGAGTCCCTTTCCTGCTCCAGTTTTCCTAGAAATGTACTTATGTGAAGTTTTAGGGTAGAAGGAAAAATAAAAATCCTAATATACTATAGTTGGGTGGCCTAGTTTTTTTGCCAGGCACATTACATATAGTAAGTCCTTTAACTATCACAGCATAGGTGTTATGATCCCCTAGATGAAGAAGCTAAACATCAGAAAAGTTTCATTCTTAAGGTACCATGATTACCTAAGGCAGGAACTAGGACTGAGCTCTCCGCGGCCTCTTGGGCAATAACACACCATGGCAGAAGGATCTTGGAAAATACAGTCCTGCCCTGTGGAGCTCAGCCTGCCGTGCTGGCAAAGTTTACACCCATCATTCTTTCCAGTGGAGAAAATGAGATGGGGACAGTCAGAAGCTTCACATATCAAATGTGACTTCAACTTCAAATGTGATTTTGTAAAACAACAAAAAACAAACAAAACCCCCAAAACTCACCAATTCAAATGATTGTCCTTTTCAAAGAAATTATATTGTGTCCATATATCTCTGCCAATAATGTTATTCATTGTGTGACGTATATTTGAAAACACTTTTTTTTTGGAATTACCTTGAGGAGTAATTTACTAGCAATTTCAACAGGATTTTCATTCCTTTATAAACGACAACTTCCTTTCTTACCAAAATTGAATCACGTAACTTGATCATCCACTCACTTACGAAACGTAATCCCCAATGACTTCTGAATGTTCTCCAAATGAAATCCTTCCTTAAATGGCAAAGGTTGGCAAGTTGTGAGAATTAAATGATACTGAGTCAACAAACATTTGTTACGTAACGACCACACGCCAGGCACTATTACAGGTAGTGGGAATAGAGCAGTGAATGTGACAGTTTTACCCTCCCAGAACAGACATTCTGCTGATGAGATGTGTGTGGAAGCATTTTTTAATTCATGAAGAAATAGATATTCATAATAACGACCAACAGTTTCTGAAGACAGTCTCAGTAGAGGAGTTCCAGAACGTATTGAGATACAGTAGCGATGGGTAGGAACATAGAGTCCTCTAGAGGGGGATGGTCCCTTTAGAGGACATCCTATTTAAATCAACTGTCAATATCCAGACATATATAATAATAAGTAGTATGTGTAGTATAAAATATTTGATTATATTCCTCTAACATCATGTCTCCTATGTAAAAAGGAGGGTGATTGTCTAAGACTAAACCTTAAGTACCTTTGAGAAAGTCCAAACTCAGAAATGCGAATAGGTTATTGAATTATATTGAAAAAACTTAAAGAACCTAGATGGTCCTGAATTTAGCCTAAACATTCAGATGATACTTTAGGAATCCTTGTCCAGGACATGGGTGTTTAGATATTTCAGTGATCACCTGCCTTATGCTTACAAATAAAGACAGATACTTGACATTAAGTAGGCCAAATGTCGGGTGATTAACAAAATTGTCAAACATATTTTAAATATGCTGATGGGGTGTAGATATGCTCATTCACAGGTAGTGAAAGCAAATTTAGCAGCTGTATTCCAACAGCCATTCTAATCATTCTAACAAGAAAACTATTTATAAGAAAAACTACTCATGTAGACCTGACAGGAAAAAAGGAAATTCATAAACAGATTCAAATAACCGAATTTGCCACTTTTTTTTATAACCACAGCAAACAAGAACAAATTAGCATGGTGTTTAATGATAAGTATCAAAAAAAAATTTGAAGCTACAAGAAGCCATAGGAATTTTAAAAACCTGGTTTGAAATGGCGCAAAATCATTTATGTATGTGGTAAATTCTGTGCTTCTAGCTTAGCTATTTAACATTTATTAGATTCCGCATTACTTTTCACTGTAACAGTATAGCTCCCCTTATAATAAGAGAAATAATCGTTTGAGATAATTTTTAAAAATCCACCCCATCCATTTATTTAACCACTCTCTGTTTTGGTGTCTAGGCACAGTATATCTTTTTATACCAGTGCATTCTGGATCTCTTATCAAGTAAAGGAAGTAATCAGCCCATCTGTTTTGTTAACTATTCAGCACTTCAGAAGATGGACTCTTTGGATGCCATGGAAGGTAAACAGAGGCAACGTGTACCAATTCACTAGTTTACCAGGAGCATTAATTTAATAACAACCACGTGTTGAAAATGTTTCAGAAGCTTGGTTAATGCACCTAACAAATTTTCATTATTTTTCTCTGTTCCAAGTTAGAGTAATAGCCTCTGGATCTGCGCTATATTTTTTGCCATGAAACATTTAGATCTTTTGAACTGGTAATTTCAGTTCTCTCTTTTGACATGTTACTTTATGTTATAGGTGATGTGGAGCTTGAATGGGAAGAAACCACCATGTAAATATCCAGACCAAAGATTACAACTGGAAGATATTTTCAAATCCCAAGGGCCAAAGTTTCCCCCTCACTCTTCTGAATTGAAATGTGCAACTGTAAAGAAATCTGTTTCTGCTACTGTGCCTTTACTAAATGGATTGACATTTTAGGAATAGTCCTAGGACATAGCTAATTCAGGATAGCTATTTGTTTTATACAGAATTGTTATGCACTTAAAATGTTTAAGAAAAGATATCCCAGAGATTTTTGAAGTCTTCCGTAACTTTGGAATGAGCCAAATAGAAAATTATCATTATATTAGCATTAATCTTTCCGGGTAAATTTTCCCCACATATTGGATTGAATCTTGAACAAAAGTTGTAAATATTGATTCGGTGATGTTATTTTGGCCTCCGTGGTGTTAACGTTTCTTGTGGATAACTTCCAGGACTGTCATAATGATCTGTACTTCCATGTACACTCCTGTGTTTTTGAATCCTCTCTTTTATGAGTGCTGAGATATCATCTCATGATCTCCAACAGCTGAACTGTAACCCCTTGACACTGCCCGGATTACTTAGCCTTTATACAACACACAGTAGCTCTTCGGGGACACTAAGGGCTATTTCAGTTGCATTGTGATCTTTAGTTTGAAAACCAACAAGAAACGAAACAGTGCGATTGCTCATAGGAAGCTGTGAAGTACATTTGTACTGTCTACATCTGTACCTTTTTCAGGACAAGTTGTACCACTCTGTTGTATAATTAAATACATGGCTAAATGTATCAGAGTATTTGTACTTTAGATGTCTATTCAACCTGATATTAATAGTTTTGAAAAGTCTCTCCAGCAGAAATGTATGATGTATGGCAAACTTGTAAACTGATGATGTGCTGCTGTGGTGCCAACAGAAACTTCTGAATAGATTACATAAAAGGATCTTCTTTCATCTCCGAAGGTAGATCATTGAGGAGGATATTTGGTGAAACTGCAAACAAAGAAATTAGCCAGCTTGTAGCAAATTAGAGATTTTTATTAACACATTTCAACCTCCTTTTTGTTAGATAGTGACAATGTTAGATAAGTTTTGAACTATATGAAATTATTTTGTCATAGATTTCAATTAAGGATCATATAATGAACTAGTATCAATTATTCTATTTCCTCTATGATAAGAATTATACCTTATGCTTATTTCTGGTGGCATATACATATAGAAAATGTGATGGCCAATAAAATTAAATTTTAAGGCATTGACTTACTTTGCAGCATGATTTCAGAGGTCCTTGTATGTATAAATTTTATTTTATATCACATATTGAGATATAATTGATAATTCCCTTAAATAATATAATGAAGTAAATTATATATAAGTACAATATTAGTAATGTGTTTACATATAATCATGTCCCAAAGTAACCATAGGTAATAAGAGATTTTAAAATCAATTTATTACCCAAGAAATTAAATTCTTTAATCTTATAAGCAGTCCTGCTTCTTGTTTTTCATGGCAAAGCAGTGTAATAATACAATCCACTATTGTTCCAACCAAGCTTATTCTATAGAAAGTTACAGGACACAGTAAGAAATGAGAATTCTGAAAGATTTAAGTTAGAGTAGAAGTTTCCTTCATGTATAAATCAGTGAAAAAGTGTGATGAGCCAGTACTTGTGAATATGGGGTTTTGTATTCAGAGAAGACAGCCTTTGGGAAGTACTAATGAGGTTACTTTTTAATGAATTGAATTATAAGAAAATAAACAGTTCGGTCTACAGGCCAGCCCACTCTTTACAGTATCTGTTTAAAACAGAGGTGTACAGCGTAGAGTTTCAGTTTGACCCGTGTGTATATGCACATGTATGTGTACAAAACAGAGTTTTAATATAAGACCTCTTCTAAAACAGTGCTGGTCAAACTCTAATGTGTCTACACATCACCTGGGGATTGTGTGAAAATGCAGACTCTGTTTCAGTAGGTCCAGGGTAGAATCTGAGATTCTCCACATCTAGTAAGTACTCAAGTTATAATACTGCTGCTGGATCTCAGGCCATACATTGGATAGCAAATCTCTAAAAGACATTATGGGCAGAATAATTTCATGTCCACCTGATATTATTTGAAACCTGTTAAAAAAAAGTTTTGTCTTCACAGAAAAAAAAAATTAGAACACCTGTTGAATGGGTATCGCTCACCAGGTCTATCACAATTTTAGGTCTATACCTAGACCTAAAATTGAATAAAACCCCACATATTAATGATAGCTAAATTTTCTATTAATGATATTGTGAAATAGCCAATATATAGACACAAGCTATAGGTGGCTGCTAAGTGCAGATTAGAATAATGAGGAACATCTGTAACATTTTTAGATCAGATTTGTCAAAATACGTTGAAGCACATGTACAATAAATGAGCAACATGTGTTTCATCTGAACCAAATGAAACTGGAGCCTCTCAGAATGGTTTGCCAGAGACGAGAGCAGCTGTTAGTATCACCTCTACTTTCATCCTGCTTTAAAACGCATAATTTTCTTCTTTCGGTTTATAGGTGAAATGTATAATAAGGCTTTTGAAAAAGGCTAATTAAACCTTGCCCTCTTCATAGAAAAGATGGCAATTTGCTCTCTGCATCTGGTACCAAACACTAAATTTTAAAAACGAAATTTAAGTTCAGCAAAGTATGCATCCTACAAGTCCATGACATTATTGTGGCAAGTCCATTTCCATGGGCCAACTTTCAGAAAACTCACATGAGATTTTTGATGGAAACTGGAACACAAAATACCTGAAATTCTCAACCGAATGATATGCAAAGGTGAAAATATGAAAAAAAGTTGATAAAGCATAATCTTGGCAAAACAGATCACCTTTTTAGGACTAGTAATATTTCATGTTAAGTGACTTTGTAACCATACATAGAGTTTTCATGTGGAAGCAGGAGTCACACACCTACCAGCTCATGAAGATGCTCTGAGGAATAGATTAGATTGCATATATCAAAGTGTTTCATAAAAGTACAATTAACTCTGCAAAGTTAATCTTTTACCCAGACTGGTCCATGTGTAATGTTTATCAATAAGATAGAGCATCCCATTTTTAGATTGTATTATATTTTTTGATATTCGTGCCATATTTATATGTCGTATACTATGTATGTTTCACATGCACTTATTGAAAATTATGGCATTTAGACTGACTTCTGCTAAATAAGACAATTGATTTCATGAATGATTTGAGCATTCTCAAGGAATTCTGAATTAAGGTGAATAGGTAGTCATGTGCACAAATAACATAAAATGTGATGTGAAAAACAAGTCAAGAAAATTTTGATTTGGACATTCCAACTAGATATTTTGAATCAGTGTCTGCAATTCAATCATTTGAAAATAAACCTGTTATGTAATGCAAGGTAACAAAAAATCATTATTCTCCTCTTAACAATGCTATGTTTCTATTTTAATTTTCACTGAAAGTATTCTTGGATTAGAAAATAATTTTAGTAAATTATAAACTTTTTAGAGTACTTTTATATACATCATTCCCAATTAATTCTTACAAAATCCATTAAGATCTGCAGAGTCCCATATTACAGATGGATATAATGAAAGTTTAATTGCTGTGCCTGACACTATGTTTAGCAAGAATGGGAGCTGCATATCATAATCAAGTTACTGAAAGTAGATAATAAAGGTAGAAGTTTTAAAGACAACAAAGAAAATAGAGACCTGATATTCAGGGGTTCAAAGATAAGAAAATACACTAAATTCCACTCAGAAATAATTTAAGTCAATAGAAAATGCAATGACGTATTCAAAGCGCTGAAAGTACCTCCTAAACCTAAGGACAACTACATAAAGCTAGAGTTAATAGCATTCTTAATAGTAAAATATTGAAGGCCTTCAGCCAAGATCAAGAAAAAGGCAAAAAAAACTCACTCCCACAACTTCTATTCCACATTGTATTGGCGTTCTTAACCATTACAAAAATGTAAGAAAAAGAAATAAAAGAGATAAGGTTTATAAAGGAAAAAATAAAACTATGTGAGTAGAAAGTATAATCATGTTTGAGGAAATTCTTGAGAGATCTATTTTTAAAATAGCTGCTAAGTATGATAAGTAGCTTTAAAAAGGTAACAGGACATATCATGATACACATATCAATTTTATTTCTACATACGATCAATGAAAAACTGGAAATTCAATTCAAAATGTCAACAATAGCATCCATAAACATGCTTAAGAATAAATATAATAAGAAATGTGCAGGATCTGTATACCAGAAATGATATGGATGAGAAGAATTAATGAATATTCAAGTAGTTTTTTGTTTTTATTTTTTTAAGATTTTATTCACTTATTTGAGAGATAGATAAAGAGCACAAGCAAAGGAGGAGAGGCAGAGGTAGAAGTAAACTCCCTGATGAACTGGAAGCCCAACATGGGGCTTGACCCAGGACCCCAGGATCATGACCTGAGCTGAAGGCAGATGCTTAACCCACTGAGCCACCCAGGCACCCCTTAAATAATTGTTTTAAAGCATGTCCATGAACTCAAAAACTCAATATTACTAAGATATCAGTTCTTATATTGATCTATAGATTCAATGGAACATCAGTCTTTTTTAAGATTTATTTATTTATTTATTTATTTATTTATTTATTTATTTATTTATTTATTTTAGAAAGAGAGAGAGTACGAGTGGGAGCAGCAGAGGGAGAGGCAGAGAGAATCTCAAGCCGACTCCATGCTAAGTGCACAGCCTGGTAGAGGCCTCAGTCTCACAACCCTGAGATCACAACCTGAGCCAAAACCAAGTTTCAGACACCTAGCTGTGCCTCCCAGGTGCTCCTGGAATATCAGTCTTAAACCCACAAGGCTTCTCTTTTCTAGAAACTGATAATATGCTTTTGTTGTTATGTAGAAATGATGCAAAGACCTAGGATAGTGAAAAATTTTAAATAGAACACAGTTTAATTTACTTTTAAATTTAAGATTTACACTACAGATATATAGTGTTTCTCATTAAAAGAAAAAAAAATAGAAAGTCAAAAAATAAACCCACACATATCTGGTCAATTGTTTTTCAACAAAGGTGTTAAGGTAATTGGGAAAAAGAATATCTTTCCAATTAATAGTGTAGGGACAACTGGATGTCCACCTGATAGAACGTGAATTTTTATCTCTTATCGCATTTAACAAATACAAAAATTAAACTGAAATGTAATACAGACCTAAATATAATCATTAAAACTATAAAGCTTATAGAAAAGAAACTAAGAGAAAATCCTTATTATCTTGGAATTAGACAAATACCTTTGCCTATATCACAAAAAATGAAATATGAAAGAAAAAATAGCAAAAGGTTCCTCATCAAAATTACAGCCTTCTGCTCTTCAAAAGACCCTATTAAGAAAATGAAAGCTCAAACCACAGGCTGGGAGAATGTCATAGAGACTTGTATCCAGCATACACATATTTACAAAATAATACACATAGACCCCCCCCCAGACACACACTCACACAAATGGGCAGTACATGAAAATGTGCTCAACATCATTAGTCATCAAGGAAATACAAATTAGAATCAGAATGAGATAATCACCCCAATAGAATGATTAAAATTAAAATGACTGTCATATCAAGTCATCCTGGCAAGGATTTGGAACAGTTGGAACTGGAAGTAAATGGTAGTCACTTCTGAAAATAGTCTGATATTTTCTTATGAAGTTAATCATAAGACCATATTATCATTTTACCCAGCATTTCCAATCCTAGACATTTATCCAAGAGAAATTAAATTATACTTCTTAGGGTGCCTCAGTGGCTCAGTTGCTTAAGCATCTGCCTTCAGCTCAGGTCATGATCCCAGGGTCCTGGGATCGAGTCCCACATGGGGCTCCCTGTTCAGCAAGGAGCCTACTTCCTCTCCTTCCAGGCCTTGCTCTCTCTTGTCATCTCCGTGTCTCTCAAATAAATAAAATCTTTTAAAAATAAATAAATAGAAAAAAATAAAATACATTTCTCAAAAAAGACTTGTATTAGTAATGTTCTCTTGCTTTAAAGATTTATTTATTTCAGAAAGAGAACACGTGTGTGTGAGAGTGGGCAAAGGGGCAGAGGAAAAAAATCTTTAAGCAGACCTCGCTGAGCACAGAGCTGGACAGGTGGCTTGATCTCAGAGCCCATCAGATCAGGACCTTAGCCAAAACCAAGAATTGGCCACCTAACAGACTGAGCCACCTAGGTGCCCCTAT